GTCGTTCCATTCCAGCCGACGTACAGGTATCCAAGGAGCGACTGGACAATTGAAGTGAACAGTCCTTTAACTTCTTGACAGGCTCTAGAAAATCACAAAATTCACCACCTTTTGCAAGTTCTAGTTTTACAGAATTAAAATACTTTGATTTCCCAGCAATGACACCAAGTGTACTGAGGATCTCACTGGTTGAAGTAGAGACACATTCCAAGGATTGAAGGTGCTTGAGCAAATGCTCGTCCGACGAAGGGTTCTGCAGGTTAAGAAGAGATCTGGCTTCACATGGTCCTTTAAAGGGAAATTCAAGCGGTACTAAATGCTCAAGTCGAAGACCTTTTTGCAATTCGTGGTTTTGATTGATGAAACTGATATCCTTGGCTATATATTCGAGAAAAGGGTGGCCGTCAGTAGTATGTCCTGTGAACATAAGTTCATGAAGCAGACAAGCCAAACGAAGGTCAGTAATGTAAAACGAGAGACTTCCTTTATTTGACAAAAGAACTGCACTAAAATTGCACATGCAGCGAACACCACAGTTCAAGAAGTTCCTGTAAAAGTCCCCCAGTTGGAGGGCCTGAGAACATTCTGTTACCTTTACTACCAAGTCGAAACCATCAAAGAACTTCCTCAAATTCTCTTCGAGGGAGAACGAAAGGTCATGTTTAAGCATCTTGAAAATAACAGTTGCTTGATCCATTTCAATAATATCATCCTTGCACTCTAAAAGGTTCTTCACAAGTCTTTGGGAGAGTAACATCACTCCATCTGTGCTTGAAAGGCAATGCCGTAAAAGCCCTTCTTTCAATTGTGCTTCATCAAATGACGCAAACACCAAGTCGTGAAATCTTTTTTGAGGGTCAGTGAGATCATAGCATGTTTTTTCACTTTGGCCCGGCAAAACGATTGTCTGCATAAACCGAAGGTTCCTGTCTTCCCGGTTGACCTTTGTTAAGTGTCGTAGAACCAACTCGGCTCCGGCTCCGGCTCCGGCTCTAGCTCCCTCTCCATCATGGGGCAGTCCACTGATAAAAAGAAAGACATTCTCAAGACGAAGACAACTCTCGCTGTCCCTAGCTTGCTCTTGCAGTTGTCCAAGACTATGTTCAGGGACCAATTTGTGCACAACAAACCAGGCGGCTAAAAATTCCTGAATTGTTTTGTGAACGAAGGATACTTTTTCGGAAGGCCGAATGTTCTCGGTATCCTCTGTGATTTGCAGGAACCCATTAATAATGCTTTCGCAGCCCTTGATTTGCTTCAATTTGCCGTACTCAAATAGAAGATCATCAGACAACAAACCTTCCAAAGCTACCTCACCAAGATCAGCAAGGATGTCCTTACAATCCTTCACAGTTCTGGGCTGGTCAGAAGCACCCTTTCCATAATCATAGTCTAAAATGCATTGGACAATTTCCAAGAAGACCATCGTCCTATTTTTCGTAGTAAACTTTACTTTCATCTTCTTCCACAACACACTGAAAAACAGGCATAGTATGGGAACTTTGGCGGTATCAATCAACTTTTCCTTCCACAGGTGGCGCATTAGAGCCTTTCCTTCAACCTCTCCAAGTTGTTTTACCAAGAACTGTTCGATGTCTGCTTCACTGAAACCAGTAACTTCAGCGTACATGTCGGCAAATTCCCGGAGGTCATCACCTTGGGAAGATCGAGACGTCACAAGAACGCTGCAGCCCCGCAGTATTTCTCCCCGGAAGATGTCAAAAACCTCGGAATTCTTTCCTCCACCATATTCGTCATAGCCGTCAAAGACAAAGAGGACCTGTTCCTGATTCTCACTGATGTAATGAAGCAGCTCATCTGTGAGATCTTTATCTTCACGTGGGAGAAGATCAGAGCAACTTATCACTTCTTTTAGCGTCTTACAATGGGACACTTCCCGGAGCTTGAGAAGAAGGACAAGTTTGAATTTCTCTAGAATACTTTTCTCTTCACAAGCAGTTGTTTCTTCACATTCGACCCAATCCAAACAGAGCTTTGTAACAAAAGTGGACTTTCCAACTCCAGCTTGACCAACCACAAGCATCCTCCTCGGCACCAGACCGTTCACCATTTTCTCAAATAGCTCGGTGTAGCCCACGGACACAGTCTGATTTTCTTTAACCATGGACAGACGAGTGTATACCTGGCGAATGTTTGCTTTGCTTTTGGCTGACCACACAGATGTTTGTACTGTTGACGTCCTTTCGTAATGATCTTTCAGTTTGATCCTGAACTGTTCCAGATTAAAGGGACTTCTGGGAGAGAATGCTAAAAGAAAAATATTAATAATGAGCTGTCAAAAACCAAAGCAGTACTGTCTTACAGCGAAACTCTTAGGGTCGTAACGCAAGCATACTTAGAAGTGCCCCAAGATGACACACTGTTTTTTGACCGATTTTCCTTTTTTGTACATTAAAGGCCGGTTTTTTCATGGGAATTTTTTGGGTATGTCGCTTTAAAAGAAATCCAATTAAAGGAAAAACAATCAACTTGTTTTCTTGCGCAGTGACTGCTCACGCTTATCAGTAATTGCAGTCCAACCTTGGTTTCCAATTTTAAATTATTTCATTTTCCATGAGAGCCAGGGTTAGCGCTAAAAAAAGAGTGTAAAAAATATGCATGTGATTTTCTAGTTTAAGAGAGTAAGATAGGCCGAAATTTCATTTTTAAAATAACGAAAAATTTTTGGAGATTTATATAAAATGCTGGCAATATTTAAAAGATTTTTGGGGGGACAGAGAGAGGGGGGGGGGTTAAAAAAATTTGAAATTCTGGTTATACTTTTAGAGCATTTTAAGGACTTTCGTGCATACGCCCAGTGCCATGTGAATATCACTCGTCTTTCTAACTTGAGTTTGATTTTTCTTAACAATGAATTTCTCACATATCTGAGCTTCCAGTTTCTCTAACATCTCCATCACACGACTATAGTCCTCTGCATGTTTGGCTTGGAGTGCTTCCATCTCATAAATCCTCTGTTGCTGGTTTTCCACTGTTTCGTCTATTGCTCGCTGCTGTTCTTGGATGGAGGCAATAGCTAATTGATTTGTTTCTAAGTCTTTAGCAAAGAGTTCCAGCGTTTGTTTTACCAGCGACCATAGTTGATGATCAACGGCATGTCCCATAACCATTTGACAGCCTACACACAAAATAAGAGTAAATCATCAATAAAGATATGAATTATTCCGTATTTTCAATGCAAAAATTAAATCGTGGGAATGAAATTATGGGCAATTTTATTTTGGTTAGCTGAAAGCGAGTGACTAATATTCGGCTTAATTAATCACAGAGGGCCAAGATACTTGAAAGGAACTTTGGTCTATGGTTATTGATGTTTCTAAAAATATTTCAGTGTTTACATATCAATTTTAAAATGCTCTCACGAAGTTGACTATTCTGTAGGGGGCAAAAGAGTTGTTATTTTGATTCCTAGTCAACGACTTTCTCAACAAAATTTGTTACCATTATGATAGCAATGTCATATTATATTTTAAAATAGTCTACAATTTTCAACAAGTAGTTACAGATTCCTCAGATTAAAAAGATTACCTCTCTAAGAAAAAAGAAAGAAAAATGGTCCTGTCACCCTGAGAAGAAACCACTACCTAATCACTGTGGGACTGGAATTGTGTAAATTTCCTTCCAGACTATGTGGTATCCCTTTGGTATCACCATTAAAAGTAACATTTCAACTTTGCAAAATTGACCATAGCTGTTTGATGATAATTGTAAATTGTGTTTCTAGCAATACCATTTCCAAAAATTAAGCCATCAAGGATAAGGGTTGAATTCTGAACAATGGAGTACCCTTTGCCTCCCCAAATGTTCAATTCCATCAGGATTACCCAAAGGACAATCTGTAAACTTAAGCATGACAACTTCCTTCAACGTATATTTATCCTGTTCTTACAGTATATGTTACGTAACAATTTCACCTTTCATAACTGTAAATATACAGGGCGTGAAATTAACTTTTTTTTCTGATAGCCACTTGGCTCCTAAATTCTTCAAAGTGGTAGCCAATTCAAAAAAAGTTGGTCGCCATTTTCAAAGACCAACAAAATCTTTCTTTACGCTGTCAGCGTTCTAGATAGACCCTCCAAAATTAAGTTAGGGAAAAGATCTTTAACGTGCTACAAAGTGGACACTAGGATGGATGATATACGACGTTCAGGCTCATCTAAATCAAAGATGGCGTCTAGTTATCGACCGAGATGCATGTGCTACGTTTTGGAAACAAACTTAACGGGGAAGTTTGCCGCGGATTTATCTTTGCAAATCTTTTTAATTCACTATAATATCTCTTGGTAAGGTTATGATGAAACGTTCTAGTCGCCAATTTGGCGACTAACTTTCAGGATTTGGTCGCCAAAGTGAAAAATTTAGTCGCATTGGCGCCTGTATTAGGCGCAATTTCACGCCCTGATATATACAAGAATCATATACGTGCATTGCAGTTCAAGAAACAAAAATAGAAGTAATCCTCACAGTTATGAATGCTACTTAACTGGTTGTGAAAATAAGGCCAGAAAATAATTCAGGCCCACTTAAGATTTGAACCCACGACCTCTGTGATACCAGTTCAGCCCTCCATTCACTGAGCTACCATCTGCCAGTTGGCTTGTTAGCTCAGTTGGTAGAGTGCTGCAACAGTATCGCAGAGGTTATGGGTTCAAATCCCGTACAAGCCTTAATTTCATTCAGGCCTTATTTTCACCACTAGTTAATTTCACCTTTTGTTTGCCACTCATGCAGGGCATCTAGTGTGCTCTGCTCTTTCACACCAATGCCAACACTCTTCACCAATTTCTCCAGGTTGGTAAAGCAGTCATTGAAGGAAGCTTCAGTCCAGTCGTTAAGATTAAAATGGGCCCACTTGTTTCTAACCTCATCTTTTACAGTATCTGCTGCTGTCCGAATAATTGGTGAGTGAAAGATGGGAGCTGGTTTGCTGCATCCAAGTAGACGGAGAATCGCGCTCAAGTCAAGAGATTCATCAAATTCTGAGAATTTTGCAAGGTAATCAGGAAGATACAATTTTGCCAAGTCCACTTCAGATGAAACATTGAAGGTGTATGTCTCCTTGTCTTTCTTAGGTATTTGACTGTTGTTGTTGATGTTTTCAAACTTCAAGTTTTTGAGGCTGGGTGTACTCAGAACGTCATCATGGGTCAGTGCATTAAGCTTACATGGATGTAAGAATGTGTCAAAGGATTTGTAATGTGCAGTCATTCCTTGTTTAACAACATCTCGCAGCACTGGGGCAATCACTTTGACCATAGCAATTCCAACCACCATCCAACGTTTCTGTTCATCAGTTGTCAATTCCATTTTTTGGGCAATAAAACTTAACTGAAAACAACTGAAAAAAACAAATTAAAGTGAAAAATAACTATCATTCATTCTAAAGAATATTGTAAAAATCATTATATTTACTGCACAAGGCACTTCCATCCTAAGATTATCATGGCTTTGTTCTAACCATTTATGCTTTGCCAGGGTGCAGGGGAAAAGCAACAATAATTTTGCAGAAATCATCCTACATTGGAAACTTGGAGTGAATCCATACAAAGATCAAGATTTAGCAAAGTTATTTCAATTGAATATTTTTGCATGATTTCAAACTTCAGTTAGGCACCAGGGTAACTGAAGGAAACCTAGCCATTTAAGTAGATAATTAAATAAATAGAATAAGAGATGAGATATTAATCAGAGCATAGAAATAAAACTATTTACAATTAAAAATAAAGTCATCAATGAATGGAAACTTTGACAAGAAAAGAATGACTCAAGGATAGTAAGCAGTCTAAAGGACTGAACCATCTATAAGTATTGGGGATGGTTATTTAAACCAAATTGCAGTTTTACACATCAAGTAGTTGGCCTCAGGGATTCTCTTTAATGGGGTTGATTTCATTCAATAAAATGTCTTTCCACTATTAGCTTTCAGCCCTCTTTCACAAAAATGAATGTATAGATAAAAGGTTCAGTTAAACTGAAGATGGTTTAGAGCATGGTTTTTAATTAAAAAGCTAAACTTTGTATTGATGACCTTTCCTTAAAGTCTAAAAAGAATTTCCAGCCCTGAGAAAAGCTCTGCCTACATAGGGTAAAATTACGATATTTTAAGTGCGTTTGATACAGCCAATCAGCTGCTGATACCTCACTCCCCTTTCACGTGATTCTGTCGTGTTGGTTGATGCACGTGAGAAGTTTGGAGAGCACGAAAAATGCGTAAGAGTAGCTGGTAGCTAAAAGCATGAGCAAATTCTTTTATAAAAGAGCGACAACAAGGATCTGCATGAAGAAGCCTTTTATTGTGCCGGAATGAATGGCAAAGCGTTCGCCCTTCTTAATCCAAAGGTCGTTTCTCGAAGTTCATTAATAAATTCATGTCAGTAAAGCGAAAGCCCATGGTGTTTATACGATAAACAAAATAATAAATGGTTGCTTGTTGATACGTAATTTCTTCTCTCTTGTTTAACACGATTTATAATAAAGTTCGGATATAACACGTACTGTCATTGGTTGAAAGAGCGTGCTCTATGAGAGTATACAGCATAGAACTGAGCTAAAGCTGTCACGCCATCTGCCAAATCGTACCATGTCCGACCTTTTCCGGGACTTCTTTCTAGCTTTTCTTTCGTTAATTGAAAGTGAAATTTCGGAACAAGCGAGCAAAGGTTTGCAAAAATGCCAGGCGCAGTAATTTACATTACTGTAACGTGAGCAGAGACAAAAATCCTCAAAGATAAAACAAGATAGACAGTCCGAGTTTTTTTAACGGTTTTCACGATCAGTTAGATTGCGAGTTTACGTACGGTAATAAAGATCAAACACAGCTAACACTTGTATAATAATATAAAGTTTCGATTTCAAACAGAAAAAAACAGGATTGATGAAAAATATAACCTGGCATAACTGTTAAAATTCATACTAATCATGACGGTGTCAGAGCGACTTAAGGTCTATCGCGGCCAGCTAATCGTGGCGATCTTCGGTCATCGCAATGGAGCAAGCCTCAGGAACTAAATCGACTACCCTTCGAGTGAAAAAATAAGAGCTTGCCCTGATTACCTTTCCGATGCGTTGAGTGGAAGGCCAGATCAGTCACTGCAACCGAGTTTTACGGCGCTGTCATTCCGAGCGATCTTCATTTCTTAGTGAATTCGGCTGTTGTTCATTCATAATACACTCGCCTTAAACAGTTTGTTTTCTACTTGTCATGTGAAACAACTTGCGTATTCTTGTGAGCCACGACTGGGCCGAATTTCATTGAACATTTCACTTTCAGATCCTGTATTAGAAACTAAAAAACTTCATGCAAAAGTGTTAAATTCGACATGCCGAGCTATTTTAGTTTGTAAACTATTGCAGAATATGAACTTTGATGGTTTGACATTTTTGACAGCTTTAGTCTTGTACAGCCAATCAGATTATTTGAACCATTCTAACAGGGATTCTGATTGGCTTATTGTAGCGTGCTTTATGAGAGTTTATAATAAAGTTCGGATATAACGCGCGCTGTCATTGGTTGAAAGAGTGTGCTCTATGAGATTATAGAGCATAGAGCTGAGCTACAGCTGTCACGCCATCTGCCAATTGTATTATGTTTGACCTTTTCCGGGACTTCTTTTTAGCTTTTTTCCGTTAATTGAAAGTGAAATTTCGGAACTGAAGCGAGCCGGCAAGTAGCGACAGAAGAACCAAACAAAGGTTTGTAAACATACCAGGCGCCGTAACTTACGTTATTAAAACGTGAGCAGATACGAAAATCCTCAAAGGAAAAACAAAATAGACATTCCGAGTTTTAAAAATTTTCACGCTCAGTTAGATTGCAAGCTTACGTACGGTAATAAAAATCAAACACAGCTAACACCCGTATAATATATAAAGAATTTGAACTTTGATGGTTTGACACTTTTGACAGCTTTAGTCTTGTACAGCCAATCAGATTATTTCAACCATTCTAACAGGGATTCTGATTGGCTTATTGTAGCGTGCTTTATGAGAGTATAGAGCATGCTGACGACACCGTTGTTCGCTTTGGAAATAAAGTTTGTTTTGAAAATTGAAAGTAATGCTTGGGTAATTTAACGGATTCTTTATTATACTATCGACTACGTCTCGTGTTTCCCCCTACACTTCTTTCGTGCTCTAGCCCCTTCCTGCGTGCTTTACAACAGAACAGAGCACAGTCAAGACTTCTCTATTTGTTAAATCTAACTCATTTGCCACTTTCTCTCGTGAGATATTGGGCTGACATAAGAGAAATTCCAAATCAAAGCACGCCCATGTTTGCTGTCTTTCATCGTATACTTGTTTGCATTAAGAACTACAGTGCTGTAAGGAATCGAAATCTTGCCATAAAAGGAACCAAATAGCATAATTAGAGATATTCAATTCTGCTGAGCAAAGGTAAAAATTCGAACAATAATCTTTTATCAAAGAACACGTGGTAGAGTGTATGCATAATGAATTTTAGAATGTGTCGCCTTTTCATTCTGTGAACTTCGTCTCGTTAAATAAGCTTTTTACCTAAGATTTCCATCAGAACTATAATCCTATGGTTTTCTTCACACTATAGAGCCAAAATATCATAGAACACACCACAGAATAATTAAAATATACGAAGAAATATCTCTCATCTCTCTACAGTTTTCATTAGTACGTACCTTTGTATTTCAAGCACGTTTGTTTCCTATCCAATTTTCGTCGTTACCGCGTTAGTGGAAGCTGGAGCACTCTCCAAAACAAATCATCAGACATAAGCTCGTTTAGGAACATTTCTCTACGAGCTGCGACTTAAAAGAAGCGATCATCTTGACGCTAACATCGTGCATGCCCTCGACTACCTGATTCCTTTGTCTGCCAAGGTGTTCGTTTTGTCTGAAATGCTAATATGTGAGCCCGTGATATTGAATGCATTTGTGTTTTATCAGTCACATTGCGCCAATCAAAGTCAGTTGAACAATCTCAATGTAAATATTGAACAATATCTTAAAGTTTTTTTACCAACTAATATCAACTTTGTTAATTATTGCATCGATGGCGTTCATGTCCAATAATGGTTTTCTAGTAGAGAATACTATCATTACGAAATTCATAGTGAATTTGAGTCTCATATGATATAAAACAATCCTAAATGATCTATGCACTTCTCTATTTATTAGGGTTTATTGATTCATATTAGAACAGCATAAAGGGTTAATGCGATGATAGAGAAAGCTGATTCCTTAGTTTTATTAGCTGTACGGTTGGTTATCATAGTTATTTTCTAATCTTAGCAAGTTCACAAACTTATTATGCAAGTTCTTGCCTCGTCATCAGGTACACAAACCAGATATATATTTTGTTTCTACGGTCAAGAAGTTATTGGACCCAACATATTGACCAGCTCCCAGTTGGCTTGTTAGCTCAGTTGGTAGAGCGCTGCACCGGTATTGCAGAGGTCATGGGTTCAAATCCCGTACGGACCTGAATTTTTTTTCAGGTCCTATTTTCAACTACTAGTTCAATAGTGTTCTTAGCTGCGAGGAGCTCTTAAATTCATTAGGTCAAGAAGTATTTTTTAGATGTTCTCCAATTTGTATCTAACTCTCTCTTGAGTCAACAGACGTAAGAAATCGCGTGTATATCACGAACAAGAGATCACGATAATGAAGCGTGTGTCGTTAGCAATGGTCCCTGAGGTATCCAGTCGTTTCGCGCCCAAATTCGGTCCATTTATACCCAGTTTGAGTTGGTTCGCACCCGAAACGCTGGTCGATTCTTACCCGTATTAATATACACATTCATTTATTTGCCTACGAAAAGTCAGTGGAGTCAAGCGAATAAGATTACAAGCAAAATTCTGTTGTTGGGACCTTACCATTACAACTAAAGTGTCCCGTTGTGTTCCATCGAGTCAGTTGACAGGCCTTCAGGGTGTTGACAGTAATAGTTTATACTAGAGTAAGACAAAAAAAAATTGCGACTAGGCGTCCTTTTACTCGAGGGAGCGCTAAATACTAATACTAATCTTGGCCAAAGCAGATCATTAGCACGAAGGGAGAATTTTCATCTTGGGGGAAAAGCCTAGCAATCGCTGTTCCGCCATGGCTAAGTGGTTGAACTCAAAACCACAATGATTCCTTTGAGGGTTTTCGCCGAATTTGTAAGAGAATTTTTATGTTTCAAACCCTTTGCTATGAGAGGGACTGCTAATAAACTTTATGTTCTGTATGTCAAGGAAAAATTTTTTATGAAGCTCTGACACCCTAGTAGAGAGCTCTATGTGCTAATAATTAATAAATTCGGTCAAAAATAAAAAAACGAAAAAAAAAATGCCTGTTTTCAGGCTAGCATACCCGCCCTCGTCCAAATGACTGCTTTGTTTGCCAAGGTACCATGTCGTCTGAAACGCCACTAACTTTTTTCAAGTAAAAATTTTGAACAATGTTTAAAGTATTTTTTTTCTGGAAATCTGATGAAGAACTGCATATTCTACATCTGGTGGATATATCCTCCTTCTTATGCGTAAACTTTAACATAGAATGTCATCATTAGTCTACATCAGGAGCCATTACTCCTGGTAAACTGGAATAGATAATGATATGAAGCTTTGATTAGCATAAATTACGTCATTACACTAAACTGTTTGCCAACCCCAATCTCCCGCCGATCGTTGAGATTCAAAATGGCGACTTTCATTATAAAGGTTGGTCATCGAGCGCATCTTCCTCGTCTTCTTCGTCCCGCCGTAAGGCTTGGCCACCTCCACTTTCAAAATCAAAATTTTACAAGCAGTTCAACACCAACAGTTGTAGATAAACAGGAGAAAGCTGTCGAGGTGATTGATGACGACGGAAAGGTAGAGAAGTAGAACTAAGAACTTACTTGCAAGCTGACTTATATTAGCTGATTTATCTAGTGCATTGTTGTCGACGAGTTGACCGTGAAGTTAAAATTATTCCTCACTGAATCTTTTTAGGAAGTAATCGACACAACGACTGGTGTACCAGACTGGCTTGTCAAAGAAAGAAAAGCAAGGATTTTTGTCCCTGCACGAACAGCGACGCAGTCCGGTTCGTTTAACACAAAGAATTGGCAAATAGAGTTTGATACAATGGAACGTTGGGAGAATCCATTGATGGGATGGGCCTCGAAGTAAGTCACTTGATAAAGCATCAGTTTCGAGGTAGATGGATGCAAATTAAGAAATACTTGTGCACGTAGTATGAATACTGCTCGTGTCAGTGGAAATGAATATGCTTGAGCTCATAGCTCGACAACGATAATGTAACAAAATCAAATGAGGTTTGATTTATCTGAGTACCAATTGGACCCAGGAAAGAGAAAAGGTCAAACCAAGCTAGGTTAATTATTTGGTAAATAACATTAACTTTTTTGATATTGCATTGGTGGCGTCAAATTTGAGTTTCAATTTTTGATTTTCCAGTAGATAATATCATAAAACGAAGTTCAAAGGCCACAACATACGGGGTGAAAGACTGTAGAGAAAGCTGATTCTAAGTTTTAGTAGCTGCACAGTTGGTAGTCATAATTATTTTCCAAACTTGACAAGTACACTCACTGTAACAAGAATAAATGACTGATAATATATGAAAATTCTATTTGTGAACTGCAGACAAAGGAATGAATATGGAAGTGATCTTCATAGTACAGCAAACTTCTGGGCCTTAAAAAAAAGAAAATCCCATACAAGCCTGAATGTTTTTCAGGCTATATTTTCACTACTGCTTAAGTAGTGTTCATTACTGTGAAGATCGCTTCCATATTCATTAAACAAGAATGTTAGAAATGTTCAAGGTCTTACACCTGTAGCAAAACGTGACCAATACTTTACGTCTTTCATTGTCTAAGAACTCATCCATGAAAGTAGAGGGAAGGGAGATGTTTATTAGAGGTGGAAAAGAAGGCACTAGTATAAAACTTAGTAAATAGGAGGATTACTTATAACTGAAATGGGGATGTTTTTTATTGTATCTCAATTAATGTATTTGTTTCTTTTCATTGTAGTGCTGATCCCTTGTCCAACATTTATCTCACATTCCCCTCAAAAGAGGCTGCTGTGAACTACGCTGAGAAACATGGTAACTACTGATGCTTACACCACTGTAGTCAGTGAAATGAAAGCTTTTTGTTTTGAGTCCAGTCCTTGCTTGAAAATTAATATTATAGCCCACAATATAAGTAACATAGAAATGTAGAAGAGCTGAAAGAGTGTCCCATTTCTCTTTCCCCAACATTAAAGCCATTTGTTATTTTGTAATGCTTGTAATAATGTACACAAAATAATTGTCTAAAGTTCGCCTGTCTTGATTTTCAGTGATACATTTTTCATATAATTTCTCATTTGGTTTAAATGAGCACTTGTAGATTTTTCAAAGACTTTGAATCACACTTTCCCTACAGGCTCATGCAATTTTGTTGTCCGAAAAATTCCAAAGTGAAAAAAAATTGTACTCAAAATTATGTTATTACCTATACTAACATTAACCATGCAGCAATGTTGGCATACTTATTGGTTGAGAGCACATCAATCCCTTTCTTTAAAGGCTTCAAATTGCCTTCTCCACAGGCACATGTTTATAGTTTCCAAATTGCACTCAAAATCAGTTGACTACAAGTATTCATTACACCTGATTAAGATGCCTTCTAATTTTCCTTGTGTTATCAGGTTGGAATTATGAAATTGATGACAAACATGAAGTCAAGATGAAGCCAAAGTCTTATGGAGCAAACTTTTCTTGGAACAAGAAAACCAGAGTGTCTACTAAATAGAAACATAAACGATTATATCTGGTTTGATAAGGTTGAGGGAAAGGTTGTTAAAACATGAAACAAATTTCCTTTTCTTTACAACATTAATCTGTACTGTTATGTACGTTTTGTTCCATGCAATGTAAATAAACTTTTTGGTGAGAAGATCAGTTTGTGTTCTTGGATTCATTGTTGTTAATGCTTAGGGTTAGTTTAAAAATCATAATCCTCTTACACTTTATGCCACATTTTAGGTTATTGTTTAATTCACCATCATAAATCACCCACAATTGCAAAAATCAAGTCGTTTAGGGAAAAAATTGCAGATATCTAGGAAAAAAATTAAGAAAATCTTTGGCCAAATAGTAATAAATGGTATATAGAATAATAAAACATTTCCATTACCCACTTGGCCCTCAGTGTTCAACAAGTCTTAGAAAGTCATTAGTCTCCAAATAAAGTGCCAACATTGTGGTGGTCAGGGGAGGGAGCATGGTTGGGATTTCTTTTGGCTGTCATCATTCCTTCTTTGTGGTTTACAAACAGCAAACAGCCTGTTACTTTAATCCAAGAATGCAATGTGTACAGAGACATTCTAACAATTTGGGTCTATCTCCACCAAGAAAATAAGTTTGTGAAAACCAGAAGCTGCAGTGTTCCTTGTACTTTGCCATGCAACAGTGAACTTTCAAAATTGCAGACTACAAGGTATCTGGTTTACTAGTTCACAGCACGATACTCAATAAAACACTTAAATTTTATTGCAAACTTAGATCTCTTGATAATCACTGACACCTACTAAAAAGGTCTCTAATTATCTAAGATCACCTCATAACGATTTAATGAATACCTCACCTCAAGCTACACTGAGAACATATCTCATGCACATGTAACAGAAGACTTCATAGCATCCCCATTCACAATTGTTCTGTGGTGGGTCACTAAAACTTGTAATAATTTTCCTCACTTCTAAATACACATATTTCATAATCAAATTCAATCACATGCACTGACTTTTATAACTAAAATTGCATGAATTTGCCAAAACAATTAACCATATGAAGGTGTACATGTTGCGTTCTGAACTCCACTTTACAAGTAAGATAATGACTTTAACTGTACCAAAGTTTACTTGCAGTCTGGCATATAAGTCTCTGTTCACAGGCTGCGAAAAGCAAAGCCTTATGGTTACTATAGCTGCATATTTATCAATTATGTACGAACAATTTCATAAACCAGGATGATTGTAAAATAAAGCAGCATTGTTTCATTAGAGTAAATAATAGTTGTCTTCATTGAAACATATTCCACAAACTACAGTAATTCAACTGCTTTCCATGATGGTCAGGTTGTAAGACACAAACCAATCAGATGTGATAATCCCCCCATGGTTGGCAACAAAATGTTGTTTTAAGTAGAACCATTATCAACCGGTTTGAAAGAAAACTTTATGATTTCTATTTATTGAATTGTTAATTTTCCTATTTTTTAAAATTTTTTTCCTCCTTTTCCCCCAAAAAGTGCTGCTGACTATTAAGAGCCTAATCTCCTTTGAGCTACAACTAATGATTCTAAGGATTATTGCAGGTAAATTTTTATACAACTACATAATGCACAAGATCCTTCTCTCAGCTTCTTCTTATGACAAAATCATATAACCTAGTTTGCAAAGTTTATTTTGATATGGCAAGAATTAATTTTGTCACATAAATTAAGTTCATACATCAATTCATTGTACCCAGTCAAACCTAACAATTGTTCAAAATGGTTGATCAAAGTTACATTTTCTCTACATAATTAAGAGGAAACATTCCAGTTTGGCCATTTAATGTTCCAGAAAGCCAGTTTTCATCTATTTGCTCATCCACTTGGATTACATCACCTTCATTAAAACCTAGTTCATTGTCATTTTCTGGAAAACAAAAACAAATATTCTTGTGTAAGAATGGAGAACTATATATGCAAAATAACAGAAGTTAAAGTTAAGAGATCAAATTCTTATCTCGTTAAATTAAAATAAAGCAAGTTTGGCTTTAATATTATAAAACTGCAATGTCTTCTATTCAGTTGAAGGTGTAACATTGTGCTTGGCAAAGACCACCACAGTGATAATCTCATAACACTAGTGTGTGGTTGCACTACTTATGTACACACTGTAGATTTTGTTTATAAAATAATTTGAACAAATATGTTACAAAGACTTTTCTTACCTGACTCAAAATCATACACTGCTTTAAATGGGCCACTGTAGTAAGAACCATTTGTTGCAGGGGTGGGTGCTGATGGTGGGGCTGATGGAGTGGCAGATGGTGTGGGTGAGAAACTGTAAGAGGACCCGGGCTCCTCATCATCACTATCATCATTACTGCGAATGCGGATGGACCTTCGCTCACTTCGTGGGCGACTACCAGCTTCAGAAACCCTAAAATAAAGAAGAGTTAAGTTGAAAAAGAAATAAATAAAAGTCAAAAGGAAACCACTACTGAAATGAACCTTAAAGATGCAGTAACTTAAAACCAATCTCTCTCCAGAATTTCATAATGAGAAATAAAAGACATAATGGTTACAGACAGAACAGTTGCAAGTATGTGTATACATTGAAATGTTCATCAATCCACTAACTTGTCGTTCAGAGTAGCTACCAGGCTTTCCATGACATCTGAGCAGTGTTTGTGATAGTCAAATATTGCTTCTGCTAGGGCTGCCAGCTGACTAACTTGCTCCAGCTAAAGAACATATTACAAATTACAGTAAGTGATCAATACAAGTTCCAGTTTAATTTATTGTAAAGGGGCTGTACAATTTACCTCAAGGTTTCACAAATTTCAGATCAAACAGTTACAGTGCAGCTGGAGACAAGGGATCACTATTAAAAGTAAATTTGTATTGACTGGAAAACAATACATTTGCATGCTTACATCAGCAGTCTCAATGAGGTTCAGCATACTGTTATAACAAATCTCTTTAGATTCCTCAAATTTTTCTTCTGCAGCTCTGACTTCTTCTTCTGGAACTATTGAAAGAAAAAAGAAACAAGGAAATAAACAACTAGGAAATACAAAAAAAAGGAAAATAAAAAATTACTGAAAAGGCAAGCCAAAATGGCAGTAACCTCCCAACTAAAAGGTGGATAGTCATAATAATACAGCAAAGAAGCTCCTTCATGTATATTGTATTTCATTTTGTACTTCTGAGGAAAATCACTTTTATTCCATTGCATTGTGTTGCTCAAACACCAGTTATTAGAGGAATTGGAGAGAGTTTTTGGGAATTACAATGCCTTTTGTACAACAGAATGGAGAACAATAATAATATATAGATTTAGCCTAGCCTAAAAGCAGAGCTTGCATTTTTTTTTCCCACACGTCTCAAGGGCACAACACCTTGCCCCGGCCAGGACTAGAACCTGGGTTGTCCAACTCGGAGCCCAGTGCACTGACCACTGGACTGCTGGACAAAGCCATAGCGTTGGTGTGCCTACGGTACAGTTAACCACGCATGTTAAAAGTAGCACCTTGTACAGTCGTATGGTCGTACATCCACATTTTTTCAGCTTGATGGGTTATTACTATTTTGTATAATTATGGGGCTACACTCTGCAAGCTCTACTATTACAAGCCAAACAAACTTAACTACAATCAATGTGTACCTTTGGGCCCCTTCCTCTTTTTACAATCATAATCAAGTCGCCGTCCCTGCAGTTTCTTTCTGTGGTGCTGATAAAAATCAGAAGAAATTACTATTCAAAAAGAATAATTAGCCTGATGGCAGTTGCTTCTAAACAAGCATACACAAGCAACTTTGTATTCACATATAATGACTGACTGCTAGTTGGGCTGATCACTGTTCAACTGAGCCTTCTAAATGGCAAATAAAGTTTTAAGAAAAAAATTATGAGTGCTGACAGAGACATGACCATATGTTGTTTAGCTTTATGAAGAATGTCATTTCACATGAATTACACATGGGGCTTACATAATCATGATCTATTGGAGGACACTGAGGCATGGATGAAATCACCATTAACAATTTTTCCTGTATGATACATTTTTATAATATGAGACAAATGGATGCCACATTGCCATGGGTCTGTAAAGTAATAGATCACAGAAGGCATCAAAATGTGGTAGAAAATCAGTGAAACACTTGGCTTCGTCTTGTGTGCCACTTTTTTGTTCTTACTTCATTTTGATCTATTACTGAACAGATGCAAAGCAACATGAAAATCTTTTTGTCATTTATTTGTTAAGTTATGTTTCAAATTGTACCATAATTTCCTTGATATCCCTGTTTCTAAGCTGATCCAGCGGATCAAGGAAGTTCTGTTTGACAGTATTGTCCAGTGCTTCTTTTATTTCAGCTAGATTTGAGAAGGCCTCCCCTGCATCCTGAAGGGCTTGGCCTGTAGGTAAATTTTAGTCATAGCACACAATAAATGGCATTCATCATGTTTAAGTGTAAGCTAATGATTTCTGCAAGAATGAATGCTCTGTAATATCATGTGGATTCACTGAGTAAAAGTTTCATCAGGGAACTGAGAATCAGACACATGTACACTGTACGTACATCTATTTATTGTTTTTGTTTGCGGTTTTTTTTTGTCTTTTCTCTCTTTTTTCCTAATTGTTCACAGTAATTACAAGTATTTAATATTCTTCCAACTTGTAAACTATAATTTACTTACTTTAAAAGTGAGAATGCAAAGAGGTGTAATGTTTTCTCTTTAAGTACCAGGTAATCTTTAAATAACTGATTATGATCAATATAAATGCTCACAACAGTAATTGCACACTCAGCTGTTTTGAACCTAACCTCCAATTATTCAGTTTTTTTCTGTAACTTTGTAAATGTAAACTGATTTTTCCAATTTTATTTACTTAGTATTCAGAACGTAATTTTTGAGCTTTGTATTGTTACTTTTTTAACCAAAAAATATTTATATAAGTAAAACATATGTGTAACAAAACATCTTTATACATGTACAATTATTATAAAAATGTCTTGCAAGGGATGTCTGGATTTAGCTTATTTTGTCAAAAACAAACTTGGCAAAACATGGTGACATTTGCATCACATAACAATTCAGTATAAATTAAGTAAAAATGCTAATGCCCATAGACATGTCAATAAAGTTTGAATGAAAAAATAAAACCCTTCTATCAGCACACCTTGCAGTAACAGGGAAGGTGAGGTGTAAAAGTTTTAAAGGAAGGAAAAATAACCATCTCTTTCAAAGATACAAGTAATTCACTCATTGAATGGTTACTATATAATATTTTACGATATAGGAAAGAGTTTCAACTACACAATTAGCAATTCAGTTACATGCAAATGTTACTCATTTTACCAAAGAGTGAATCATCCCCAAGATCAGTGCCTCCTTTTTGCATGGTCTCTCCTAGAAGGCCCTCTGGTTGGGGGTACCTTGACACTTTGGCTTCACCTCGCACTTTGTGCACAGTTGTTTGCATTGTAAGCTTGGCCCGAGCAGCTTCAGAGTAAGATTACATAAAGTCAATATGCGGCAGAATGGAGAGCAACACATTAGTCTTATCAGAGGTTTTTCACCGCCAGATTTATGGCGTAAGCATAAGGCACACAGGCCATGAGTTCAAACAGAGGGAAAAAATTTCAATTCAAACAAAGTTTTGAATTTAGTAAGTCGTACAGTGAAGTATGGCCTGCAAAATCAATCAATCATAGAACCCAAACTAAAATATGAAATGTTATATTTTCAGTCCACTGAGTACCTGGGTTAGGTTGAAGGTATTCTTTTGTTTTACCACTGACTTGATCCACCAGGTTTGCAGTAATATCTGTTTTCTACAAAAAAAGAGCAAAACATATATAGTAATTAAGCTCACTGAGGACCAACATTAACATAACAATAACATGAACACGAGATATTTTCCCCCGTCCCACTAAGTAAAAACTTCAAAATTTACAAATTTCATTTAACTTACTCTTCAACAATAAGAATTCATTTATAAAGTTTCTTCAATCAATAAGTTCAATTTAACCAAAATGGTCTTAAAATTGCATTAAATTATAGAGTGGTCCACTTAGTTAAACACATCTATTATATAATATAACATAGAGAACCATTGCAAAATAATTACATTCAGATTAAACAGTAGGCATGACAGATGGGGAACACAATTCCCCAGCAAAGCGATAAAGATAAAATTAAATTTATCAACTAAACCTTCAGTCAGATAAAACTTTGTAGCTTTTAACCCTTTCCCTCCAAAAATACAATGTCTAAGCTGAGCATGTTGGAACAGCATGAGATATGATAGTTAGAACTCTAGATAATTTTTTATAACACTGAACTTTTTTTACCACAACAGCCAAGAATTCTGAACTTCCCACATAAAGATATTTTGCATATCACTTTATACATAAGACTTTCTGTCCCCCCAATTTTTCTTTTTTCGGTTTCGTTGAGTTCCGATCTAGTTCAATTTCATGTAAAGGTATATGGTACATAATATTATATTTCCTGTGAGAAAACTAAGAAAATTTTACAATTGCCTTTTTCTGAATTTTTAGCAAAGTACAATTATTTCCTAAAAACCAATTTGCAGTATTCTTCAGTCCACATTTTTCCATCTCATTCTACGTACTATCCACGATTTTAGGATGCGATCTTTGCAAAACGTTCGTTGATAATAGAGCGACTGCATGGATCTGCGAGTCACTAATTCGATTCCTCGTTGCTGTTGTTGTGTTAATTAATTCAACATCACTTTTAACATAAGAAGATTAAAACTCATTTATAGGTAATATCTGAGTTTGTGGATTGAACAAATGCGATGAAATATAGGTTTTACTATTAATGGTAATTAAATGCAGAGAGAGATTAAGCTTTACGAAATGAGAAAATTATAAACTTTTTCCATTGAATTTCCTCATGATAGAAATTTCTAAATGATTCGATTTAAACTGCATGAAGCGAATATTGCTATGAGGTTACAGAAAATTTATGGACATTAAAATCAATAATTATTTTTTAACTAGCATTCCGATAATAACAAGCGGTACATACTTTCAAGTTTCGATTCAAAGAGGAACATGTATAGAACAATAGATATTTTGCAAGTCATTACAAAACACTAGGAAACCGAAGTTTGACTCTCGCTGGGCAAAACATCCGTAAACTTAAAATTATTCTCACTATTCAGTGAAACATAAAAATGCAAATCCTTGATGTTCATCAGTATCACCGGTGTGACAAAATTTTCGTGGCGTCAGCGGTTGTAGCATCTTGTGTCAAGTTCCTTTTGACACTCTGGGAAAGGTTTCAAAACAAAACGGATTACAACTCGGCCTGAAGAAGAAATTAATAGGATGCCTCGAGCTTCGAGAGGTTATAAGACAAACTATTATTTCCTAATAACAAAAGTAGAATTATTTTAAAAAAGGTGATGTCGTTTACAGACATTAAAGGTTACTTCAGCTTACGTGTAGAATCCGACCAGAAAGGGAAAATACACATTAGTAGAACCTGGGGTCAATTTGGTAACCCTTATGAGGAAACTTACTCTTTCTAGCTCCACAAAATCTTCTTCCAGTTTTGATCCCTTGGCACCACCAATCTTCTCACTCATGAACTGTTAATCAACAAACGGAAATCAAAGATGGAACGGTTCATGAAATATGAACACGAGCACGTACCAAGTTGTGCCGTGAAACACTGCCCTACTCGCCCATTACTCTACCTGATTCGCTTTGTTAATTTGTTTTCTGAACCCTGCCAATGACATGATGACTCTGTTCTGATCTTTGAACTACTTGATCGTCTCTTTGAAGAGGTTTTTTACTCGCAAAAGCACACGCAAACAACGAAAATAACTCTTGAATCAGGCAAAGTCACGTCGACTGCTCTCACTTCCCTTGACGGGGAGCCTAGGCTTTAGTCACGTGACTCAAAATGGCAGATGATAAAGATTTGAAAGCCCGCGTAAATCAGTTGACAATTTTGATCGTGTCTTCTCCATGTATTCGCTTTTAAAATTAGGAAATTTTCTGCCGTTAGAATAATCATTTGCAGGTCAAGGTGGAGAAATGGGAGAGAAATGTCAGTGGTGTGCTCTAGCGTGCGCAATTTGCCGCATAGGGTGCTTTCGAGTATGTAAGCTAAAGTTATTTAACATATATATTTTGATATTGTAATGATTAATAAGACTTTTAATCATGAACTTATCGTGATTTTATGAGCAATTTTGGAACTTGTATTTTGAAAGATAACTCAATCAAAGTTTAAATCAAATCTTATTACAAATGAGAAAGGAAATTGAAAAAGGTTGGAATGAGATCGAGAGTAGCAAACTTTTTTAGCCTGTCCACAGCACTAAATTAACTCACTTTCGCCAAGTTCTTTCCTTTTGTATATATTCCTCTTACTTATCGCGTCCGTGGTCCGTTCTACTATAAGTTACGGAACCTCGTTTTTTCCGCTCGGATTCATGCCCCGCGCTCTTCGCGCTTGGCTCATAAGTCCGAGCGAAAAAAACAGTGTAAAACGAGGTGAGATGTTTATTATTTCTCCGGGTTCAAATAGAGGGGAAGAATTAAATTCAACAAACTTTTGAATTTAGCTGGTTGCGAAGTAACATACAGCCCGCTAAATTGACCAATCATGTCACATCTACTAACTGAGAGATAAACACAGAGAATTTGTGTCATCCATAAGACGGAAATCGAAGATAATCACTTTTAATCAAATATATTATGTTACCTGATTTTCTCAAGGTTTGATTTCAAACATTGTTTTTGTGTTTTTGCTCATTTCCATTTTAAGAAGAAACAATTCACATGGCCAACATCGGTTTCTTTTATCACAGAGATATATACCAAGGAGTAATTGCATGTATGACCAGGAGACTGGTTGTATGGTCTTTCTTTTCATTTCTCTACTCTTCTGTCCAGAGGATGGGATGCCTATTACAGTTTCAGTGAAGCCTTATTTTCAGAGAGAGATTTTATTGGCATATAAACAACCCTTTACCTGAAGACTACCTCCTCCCACTTCTCTCCAACCCCTCACCCAACCCCCCCTTTTATTAAGAATGTATTTAACCAGTCCCTTGGGATGTAATTTGTTGCATGTACCAGGAAGTTGAGTCAGTCGTCTTTCAAGCATCACCTTAGAAAAGAGATACTATATCAATTCATCCTAAAAACTCTTTCCAATACCTGAAATATTCTGTTGTATTTATACTGCACAGTGTTATCAAACAGTCTGCTGCAAGGAACCTTCAACACCCAGGCCATCATACTCAGTGATTGCAATTGGACTCAGCCAAGCTGGCAAGTCAATGCTGTTTGCAAAGCTGAGTGGGGACGCTTCTGAAAAACTTGAGCCCACTGTTGGTAAGCTCTTTTTGCAAGTGTCTACATTTGAATATACTTTTCAGATTTATCACTTTGAGTTGACATTTGTTAAATGTCAGAAAAAAGTTTTTTTATAGTGATGTTTGTGAACACATGTTGATCGTTTTACTCCCAGAATCATGGAAAAGAATCTCCCAACTTGTTATGTAACATTGCTTCATGGGCTAGTAGGAAGAATTTGGCTCTATATCAAGACAATATCCCTTACTTCTGAGTGTAAGATATTCAGTAACTACCCATGTTAACTGTTTGATTTAATTCAGGAAATTATCTTTTACAAAATGATTGGCATACACTCAGCGGTACTCTAAATCTGTAATGTATTTCTGAAATGGCTATGATAGGTTTCTCTGTGAAAGCTGTCCAACTACCCAGTGCTATTCTGAATGTTAAAGAACTTGGAGGTAAGTGTATGACTTCAAAGTTACTTTTAGTACCAACAGTGATAACCCTTAAAAGATCACAACTTTAAAAGGTATCAAAAGAGACTGGGGTTATAGGGAGTGAGGATTTGACTTACACTCCAAAAGACCATGTAGCAATGGGCCTCCTTTAAGTTATTGAATGTCAGGTAATTGTCATTTTACTAATGGTGCTGATGGTAGGATTTTTTCAAATAAATAAAATTATTAATTCATAAACTTATCTAACTTTGCATAATAGGTGGAGATAATGTCAGAAAATACTGGCCACACTATTTTGGAGGAGCTCAGGGGATAGTAAGAACAAAATATAAGTGAAGTTTAAAATTAAGCCAATGAGGAATTTTTCTGTGTTTATACAGTCTCATCTGAATGCAAGGAAACTTTGAGAAAGTTTTGCAAACTTTCAAAAATTTTCAAATTCTCAAAAAAATGAGAATGTATAGTAATTTAAATGTCTTATTGCTTATCTAACTAATATTGTTTTAGAACAATTGTCACAATTGTTAATTTTGGTGAAAATGCCCACAACAACAATTGCACAGCTGCTGTTGACCAAACCTCTTTGTTTTTGTGTAGTAATTTTAACTATTTCTGTAATTTGTATTTGAAATATGATAATAATTAATTTTAAAAAATTTCTTACAAAATTTCTGGCATAAGCGCTGGGCAGGAAGTGAGCCTTTACTCTTTCCTGTTCCTGGGAGAATCAAAGTAAGACCACACCCAAGAAAATGGTAGAAAACAAACCTGCTGATACCAATATAACTACATAATGTTTAAAAGAATGATATAACCCTTCATGTGGAAGGCTTTTTATATCAAGTAATGAAAGATGTTTGTTTGGATAATAAATCCTGCCATATTTTAAATAAGGATCATTAAGTAAATACTAAGATACAAATCAATAACCAATAATTTGTAGGTGTTTGTGGTGGACAGCTGTTGCAATGATGATGACGTGGATTTAGCGGCAGCTGAGTTACAAGAAGTCCTGTCCCACTCCTCCCTGGAATCCCTTCCTCTGCTGGTCTTAGCCAACAAACAAGATGTTAATGGAGCCCGCAGTGCAGATGAGGTAAGTGGTGCACCTCTTAACATTACTGCAGGATTAGAGATGTTTTTTTTTTTGTTTTAATGATAAACAATGTTTATCACAGTAATCCTCTACATTTTTTACAAGTAGAGTCTTTTCCAGGTTATTTTGGATAATTTCATCATTAGGAAAAATAGATGTCTTCTGATGCAAATATTTGTTGACTGGTAAAAGGCCAGTTGTCCATCAACCTATGAATAGAGAGGGTAAGTTTGCTTAGGGTTAGGGTTAGGGTTAGGGTTAGGGTTAGGGTTAGGGTTAGGGTTAGGGTTAGGGTTAGGGTTAGGGTTAGGGTTAGGGTTAAGAAACTGTGGTGCTCCTTTGTCAGAGCTCTAAGGAAGGGCTAATGCTCGAAATGTCAGCTATGAAACTCTTTATGGTAGCCAATTTACATTATCAGCTCAGCTGATAATGCTAAATCACCCCATCTAACTTTGACCCTCTGTCAAAGACAATAACTGTTGCATAAAGACTGACAAACCAATCAAAATTTGGGGCCTTTTTTTTCTCAACTTAATTTGTGATATGTGAATATGGCGTCCAAAGCGTATGCGGATGGTTGATTTTTTACCTGCGTCTTCAACTTTTTTAATCCACAGCTGTCGAGGATGATGGGGTTGGATGCGATTGCTCGCAAGAGAAATTGGCACATACAAGCGTGCTCTAAAGACGACACGGAAAGTGCCAAACAAGGACTTAGTAAACTAGTGTCATTTATCAATCCTGACACGGAAACATCGGAACAAAATAGATTATGAGCTCAAAAAACTACTAACATGTGTGTGATTTCCACTTTAATTTAATCGATTTCTGGGTTTCGGTGTCCTGGAGTTATTTGTAAAGGTACTTGCGCCATAAGTATTAATATTATTCTTAGTCCTAGAAGTATAATTATCATTAATAGTGGTAGTATTATAAGTAGTAGTATTGTTATTAGTGGTGGCAGTATTATCCTCATCATTATTATATTTATTGCCGCATTTAAACCAAGGAACAATATGTAACTCTCATCGATATATCGAAACCTCCCGTTAGCAACTTGATGTTGTTTCAGATGTTAAAATTGGTGCAAAAATTTTCAAACAGGGATTGTTTTCAGTCTAAAGTTGATCTAATCTCTTCTTGGTCGCGATATTACGCGAGGATTCTAAGATGTTTCTTTTGATATGTCGGTACCCATCCATACTCGCAAATTGTGTGTAAAGTTCATCCGTTCAGATCGATTTCCTGCTACTACAACAGTTTTTTGCTTCTGACTTATAAATCCGACTTTTTATTAATTTATTCTACTTCTTCGTTCGCGGTTTTGTTTGGCAATGGCCCTCTCGTAATATCTTTAAACGGTTTGAGACACCTCCAGTTATCCTCAGAAGTTGTTGAAGCATACTCGTTAATTTGCGGAAGTCGTTTGAACATCTTCCGTAAGTGTGGTTGTTGTCCGATCATAGTCCCGACAGGGTTAAGGGAAATCTCAGATTCATAAGAAATAAGCTGGCTGTTGTGAATATGTTGGAAGCCAGAAACTTGTGAAATTTGTTTGGAATAAATAGAATACTAATCGAGTTCATATATTCCTGTACAAATGTATAAAAGAATAAGGAAATGAGGAGAAAACTGAAGCTCCAATCTTTTGAGGCACTAGAGGACTTCTTTTGGTGTTTTAGCTTAACGTTGTGTCATATTGCAAGGTCAACTTCCGTATTTTACTTCCTCCCAAATCCGACTACGTTGCCATTACGACAATGTTTCTGTTACGCCCTGACATTAATATTGTTAGTTTATATGTTAAATATCCGTAAACGCCCTAAAAAGCGCGTTCAGAGCTTCATGTTCTTAACAAAGCCAGCCCTACTTCCTCCCCCCAGCCCCCAAAAGAAGAACTCAATTAGGCCGAGTAGGATGTTAAAATTCATTTCATTACCTGAAAGTGATTGGCAGCTGGTCTCCCACTGCTCTAGTACTTCTCAGTAATCTTTCACACTTTGCGCTCATACTTATTATTACAGAAGCATGAACCCTCATCAATAAAATTATTTACGAAATGATGATCAGATTTTTTCTCATTCCTCCTATGTAATGCTTTGACCAGAATTTACCAACACTAACACTGGCTATATGTACAGTCAAACCTCGTTGAATCAACCATTCAAAACTTCAAGCCTGCCCGATTACTTTTAATCGGCTTGGGTCGAATTTTATCCTGCTGTTGACGCGAGTCATTCAACATTTTGAGGCCCCGTTTTTTTCATTTTCTATCCCTGCTACTTGTAGTACTAAGCTCTACATATGAAAATATTGCATTATTTATGTGTCGGTGGGTACAAGGAGAAACTAATAGGAAATAACAAGCAACATCAACAACTCACCCGTCCTTCAGTTAAGATGGCATACAAACAAGTGTTTTTGAAATTTCTGACTACATTTGCCTTCACTTTATCTTCCTTTCTACAAAGCACTTACCGGTAGTTTCACTTTGGATCAATTTCCGTCCTATTGCTACCAATTTGTTTACTTATTCATATATTTTCATTTTCTTGTCTTTTTCTGCGGTTACCTGTTTATTTATTTGAGTTTTTGAGTGACTTCTAAAACGTTCCGTTAACTCTTCAGCAATCCCGGAAGACAAGGGACTTCTTGGAAGAAGCGAGGCTACTCTTCCACGCGGCTTAACTGGAAATCAAAAGGAAAAACGTGCTGCGAAGGTATTTGAACCAACATGTACCCGGATATTTATTTTGGCTATAAATTGAGTGACAAGTTCAACTCTTGTTCAGATGACCTCCGTTTCGATGCAAGTTCAATTTCCTCACTGTTATCAGAACGGCTGTTTCAACCCAACCTGCTGAAAACTAGTTTTCTATTTACATACATTATAAGTGTCATCAATCTGCTTGAGATCGCTTTATGTAAATTTTAAGTGTTGTCTGCGACTGGTTAAGGAAAGGATAAAGTTGGTTTTCCAGCGTCTTCTCGAAGACCTTTCTGGACAGAATCGGTGTTAAAATGTATTGGCGGCGTTGTAAAATTTTCGTTACATTAGTCCTTCATATAACATCGTGTTTCAGTGTTCCGCTCAGCGATTTCTATCCTTATGGAGTCAGCGAGGGTGATAATGCACTTCCGTCAAATGACGACGGCAGCTCAGGAGAAATACCAATCTCAATTCTCTACCCGTATTTTGACAAGAATCACCATTCCTTATATGTAAGTAGGCAGTATTTATTTGCACTTTTTAATATGAATTATGTTTAGACTCGGTGATATCTTTTATAAGTTTATTTTTTAAAATATTGAAGTGCCTGTATTTTAAAACCACTTTGATTGTACGTGATGTCAGCGCTAAACTTTGCAAAATTGAAATTCACAGATTGAAAGAGTTTCTGCTTTTCTTACTTCACCTAAGATTCTAATAACGCCCTTTAAATAAAAAATTTCAAGAAAATTATACATTGATAGCGTCTCTGATTTCTTGTGTATTAAAATCCCTATGAACTACCAGCGTGACAGTTAAATTTTTTCTCGGAACCACATTTGTCTCGCTTGATTAAATATAACTAAATGCAGCACGGATCAATAACGTATTCAAACAAAGTATGATTTTCCTTTAAAATTCTATCTTTACACTGTGATGAATGATATTAGTTGCTCGTTTATTCCGTCATATCTTCACTGCCCAACAATATTTTCAGTTCTATCGCATTGTTTAAGTACTCCAATAGGCCACAAGTGACCTTTCTACTCCACCAATGTGTTTCATGCGTGGTGTGTGTCACGAGATATATTAGGTTCTTCCTGTACAGAAATCATCGCTACCTCAGCAGAAGACGAATAGAACGCATGCAAACAACGAAAAAAAAAACTTGAATTCAGTATACAAGACATTCCACTTTCATTTCAACCAGATCGTGCATTAAAAGTATTCGTGATAGTCTGGCGGGCACGACAGTTTAGTAGTTGTTTCACTAAGTACTTGAGTACTGTCAAAATTTGTTCAAGGGTAATTTTTCAGCGCCGCTTTACTGCCCAACGAATTCACAAATTAAAATACTTTTCGAACCGGAAAATTTTTTAATCTAAGAAGTGTTGTCGGAGGCTACAAAGGCATTAAAACGGTTCGAACTTAAGCTGCAAAACCATGAATCTGATCTGTATGACCTCACCGTTTTCAGTTTACGCCCATGTTATAGACGAGTCATAACTATAATTAGTATAAATCGTCCTTTCACAAATGCTGTATTGCGACTGGCTACGCAAGTCGCTATCTATTTAAGACATTTAAAACAATCAGATTATCAGCTCAAGATTTTTGTCACGTGATAGTTGATTGTTGGTTATCAGTTGATGCGGGAAAAGCCAGGATCAACTTTCACGATTACAAATCGAAAGTGAAAAATCTTACAGTTTAAGTTGTTAGAACTCTGACAACAAAAGAGTGTCATGTGTTTATTTTGATTTTAAAAAATAGGGAGTATTATAATTTTTATTTTATTTTTACCTTCAACCAAAGTGCTTATCGCCTAGCTGAGTCCACGCTGCAAGGGTGAAAGCTTTTCCTTTATGTGATCGGTCAAGGGAATTAAACCAGAAGCATATAACTTACAATGGGGTCAAAAATCCATAGGCAGTTTTTGAAAACATGTCCTATGCCCAAATATATGAAAAAGACCGACTACTTTTAGCCAATTCACTGAGGCGTGCACACAGAACATCCACTCCCCCGGCCCTCTAACATTGTTGGTGAACCTACGTATTGGTAAAGTTTACTAAGCGCACCAAATTCAACTTTGTTTGCGGAAGAAATAATTCGATTGAAAGTGTCCCAAGACTCGTAAACTCCACTGTAGGTCATCTGATTATGATATAACACATGTATTGTAATATTAAATCGTTCACCAGCACAAGTTGTGAAGAATCATGTTTTATATGATCGCTTGACTTATTAAAGGCTTCCAGAAGATTATCGATTTCAGAATAATCTTCATTTCTTATTTAACTTTTCTCTGTGTGTGATTTCAGGTGAACACAAATGGAGTTATCTCATTTCTGGTTGCAGTGGGTCAATACACCCCAGCTCCATTCCCCCTGGGGGACAACCGACGTCTTATTTCGCCATTTTGGGGTGACGTGGATACTAGAAATGGGGGAACTGTATTATACAGGGAGTCTATTGACCCTGTATTGCTGGACCGAGCTACAAAGGATGTTCGACGGGCATTCTTAAATCACCAGAGATTCTCAGCCTCGTGGATCTTCATAGCGACCTGGGACAGAGTGGCATTCTTTGGAGCAGATGGAGACTTTAAAAACAAGGTAACAGGGAAAGATAAATTTTTCGCCTTGTCACAAGCGTGGGACATGAAGAATCGAACTTCTGACCATTGATGCGCCACCACTGACCTCTTTCATATTTTATTTACACATCACGCTCTCCGAATAGCTAATCCTAGCAATAAGAAGGACGCGTGTCACGTAAGAACCTTATACCTGTGTAGCTCTCCACAGAGTCTCTATGACTCACTGGTAGAATATTAGAGTGTGGAATCTGGAGGTCTGAGATTCGATTCCTTATGGGGACTTAGAATTTTTTCCTTTCCCCCACTCTCGTGAAAAGACGTAAAACGCCTTTCTCCACTTCACTACTGAGCGCAAAATTTACCGTCTTTCCCACTCTAATTTTACAAACAAGGTAACATTAGTTAAAACCCAACAGGGCTATAAAGACAAATAACCTTAATTCACAATGGTTTAAGCAGAGGATCTTGTGTAAAAGGGTAAGAATTCTCAAAGAAATTGCAATTTTGTTCCTTGTCAGGTCAACAACTTTCAAGCAGTGCTGGTTACAAATGGACGTCATTCATTTGCCATATTCAATTACAATCAAATCGTGTGGACAACTGGTACAGCTAGCGGAGGGACTGAGGACGGATTGGGCGGTACGCCTGCTCAGGTGAGTGTCTGAATGTAAAGTAAGAGACAATATATTGAGTAAAAACAGTGAGCCCAGTGGATTTATTACCACAATCTATATAGAAAAAAAAATTATAAACATGCAGGTTGCAATGAAACGCACATTCAAATAACCCATAGCCTTCCAATATTTTTTCACCTGTCCTTCTCCTACAGTTGTGTAGCCTGCGAGTGCACAAGACTGCGCCTACAGGAGCGGCGAAGCCTGCGGGTTTCGAGCCCACCCGTGAGGCGAGCGTGCAAGAGGTTTGCAAAGAGTCTGCGAGGGTTCTGGCCCGAAAATGAGACTCCTCTCAGACCTCTTTCCTGCCCGTTTTGCTAGCCAACTCGAATCTCAAAGGCCCCATGCTTGTGCCGCATCTTTAGTGGGAGTCCACTTGTCAAAATTTTTTTAAAGAACATATGGCCAATGGAATACCCAAATATCTTTGGACCTACTTAATTTAATGAACTATAACCATGACACATTTACTGTTGTAACTCTAAGAAAGGTTAAAACGTCACCATAGAGAAGGTACTAATCCATGCGCTGAGCTCGCTTGGAAAAGATTACTCATAGATTCGCAGAGTCGAACCCTTTCCTTTATCTGCAGCTGTGACCGAAATATTACACAATGATTAAGATGCTACCATAAATGTATGGAATTGACTGTGGATTTGACTTTGAACTGCAGGGCGGGTTTAATGCTGGAGATGGGGTGAGGTTCTTCATTATTCCTGGCTCCCGAACAAATGACATCCTTAATCTTACTTCCACCTCAAACGTTGCTCGAGACGGTCAGTGGATGTTCCAAACCGATGAAGCAAGTGTGGAAGCTGGGGGATGTAACACAAAAGGTACAAATTGTAAACACAAGTATAGTTTAAAGAAACATCACGGAGTCATAGGCATAGATCTGTAGATGTTGTAGGAGTGGACATTCAGCGAACACCTAAAAAGGAAAAAAAGAACTTGAATGAAAAAATTATAAATAGAGAGTCAATGAAACAGACCAAAAAACTTTGCGGGAAGTAACTTAAAACTGTACGGAAATAATCATATTATCCTCCATAGTTTTTGTTACCTAACTTCACTTTTTAAAAGGCGCGCATCCCTCAGCATGCAACATTTACCGCGACGCACAAAAGTGTTGCAGATTGCACTGTCCTTGCTCCACAAAATGTGTCGTTTTAGAAAAAATAATCCAAATATGTGAAGAACCGCAAACATTTACTACGTTCAGTGGGCGCACTATCATCAGTTTTTCCTCACCGATTTTTTTGGACTCGCGCGACTGACTTCGCCGATAAGGAGGGGCCACTCGTCGTCTAAACAGTTCCTTGAAGAAGTTTCGGTCATCACGAACCGCAATTGAAACTCCGGTACCATTTTTTGGTTATATGCTACCCTAACATTGCATTCATCTGCTTCTTCCTATTTAACAGGATCTCTCACCATATCACCCCGATCTGGGATTATGTTAGGAGGTACGAACGTGAAAATGAGTGGACCTTGCTTCACTGCAAATGATAACATTGTGGTTCAACTCGACAATGACGTCAACATTAATGCAACTTTTAGCGACGAGCTAACGTCATCAGTTACAATACCAGTGTTGAACAAGACAGGACGGTTGTCATTCAAGTTATCTACTGATGGCGGAAATTCATTCGATTACAATGGAGTGTACACATCAGGTACGTTATCAACTAAATTCTTTTTATTGTCCGTTGAGCTCACTTTTGACATCAATCAAAATTGTAAATGTAAGGAAAAATTAAAAATAAGGAACAGGAATTTTATCTCTTAAGACGATTATTTTAACGTTTATGTCTTTGTTCGACAACCAAGCTTAAAATTTGAAATATACATATTTTTAATCTACACTCAAGTCGCTCTGACCGTAGGATCCATAAGTTCTAATCAATGAGCCATGTGTGGCCCAAATAGTTCCGGATGTGGTGGAGTATCTCATCGCGAAATGGAACCTTGGTGAGGTTCGAATCTTCACAAGGCCCTCGGATGTTTAGAAGATATTCTAAGGGCAACATGCACCATTGGCTTTGTTCAAGTTTCCGGGTCATTCAATTTCTTCCTTCTCTAGAAGGAACATTAAAAAAATTATCTCTTTTATTTTAGTTCCCATAAATCGATACACTCCCGAGGTCCAGAGAGAGGACGGTGATACATGGCAGGAGGATTCCACGGTGGATATTAGTTGGGATTCGGGAAGCATTGGAGGACTAGACGAGGAAGTGTCGATTGATTTGGCGCGCTATAAAATGGGAGATGATGATGTTCCCGAACTGGACAGCTTCCGCCAAGTAGTAAACAATCAACTTAATTCTGGACATAGTCAGTTTAATGTCACAAAAGGAGAAGGAGACGGGTAAGGGTGATTCTTTAAGCAGTAATGTGCGGGAAAGGAAAAAAAACCATTACTTTGGCATGCTTTTTCATCATATGAACAACATTCTGCGCAAAAATGGAATGCCGCTCAGTGGCATCAAACGCATGTTTGTGCACTGTTTTTGTTGATAAATGTATTATTATCACATAAACTGTGATATTATACAGGGATTTCCGGCCCTGAAAAAGCCATAGCAACACACGTGAAAAAATATCTTATTTTATTTCCCACGTGTGTTGATATAGCCAATCACTCGGTCAGGTTGCTGAATGAACGGCAAGTTGATTGTCGGAGATTTCTCGAAATATGGCGCCTAAAACATTAAAAAATCCGTATGCCTGACAGACAGTGAGGTTCAAACTTACCTAGAAGGAGAAAACCAGTGTACTAAAAGAAAAACTGAAAGTTACGTATTCAGTGGCTTTGGTGTTAGCATTTCTCTCGGCTGAGAATGAAAATCGACAACTGGAGGATTTGCCACTGGCCGATTTTGGCCGTTTACCTGAAAAAATTCTTCTGTCGGTAAGGATAAAGTCAATAAATGAGAATTTTGTAAATTGAAATTACGACCATTGTTGTTTTTGTAATCATGATTCAACTCATTTTTTGCATCTTAAGAGTTAGCGCCCACGCACCCTACGATTGTTATTCGGGGATTGTCAATTTATTTGTTTTCATTGATCAATTTTACTGCTTTTCTTGTCAGTAAAGGCCTACTGTGTTTATATGATAAACAAAATAATACATGGTTGCTTGTAGATATGGAATTTCTCTTCTCGTGTTCAACTCGAAACCTCACTCGTTCGCTGTGCTCACTCGTTAGCTATCGAGTTAAACGCTCGAAGAGAAATTTCATATCTACGCGCGCCCATGTATGATTCTCTATGTAGCGCACCTCTTCGTCTTGTGAGTCACTGATCATGAGTAGGGAACTCAGAGAGGAGATGAAAACAGTTCCTAAATATCTTTCGGTGTTGTTTTGTTGAAAAATTAATTTTCAAGGCAAAGCCTATTCGAATGGAGCGCGCGCTATGTCCGTTAAGAACTGAACACAATTCAATTGTTACGTCAGTTGCAATTCACTGTTCGTTTTTGTCAGCGAGTTTTAAGCTGCATCTTTTGTGTCACAAAAAGATGTGTTCTGTTCCGTTAGTCACAACGAAACTGGTTTCAACAGCAATTGACGATAGAGTGGATTATTTGAGTAAAGTTCGTGGTAAAGAAGAAAGTGTTTATGATAAAGTTGTAAGAGAATTCCGCGAACTCGAGAAGAATGCTGACAAGTACTTTGACAACTTGGACGCTGTCGAAGAAATGTGTCACCAAGCGAAAAAAGACGCGCAAAGATTTCGGCTGAAAGCTGAGGCCGACAAAGAACTATTGAAGAGAGATGCTGCCGTGAGGGCCAAATTGTATTCCTCCGTCACGGAAATGAAAGAAAAACTGAACCGAATGGATATCAAAGAAGAGCCGACATGTCCAATTGAGGAAAAGATGCCTGAAGCAGCTGAGAATGCACACCGGCTAACTGTCACCGGTCGAGTGTGTCGCTATGTCAGGATTGGATGTGCTTTGGTGTTTGACGCAGTAGCTGCGTATACTCTCTTTAGGTTTACTCAGCCATACTTTTTTTAAATCACTGCGCCGGGCCCCAAAAAGAAGATGGGCCCATCGCTCGGTAAGAGAACGAAAAGCCTACAAGCAGTCCCCCTTTTTGCGAACTCTGTCGCGTGAGTTAAAAAAAGGGAGGAGGATTTTTTTTTTTTACTCCCTATCAAAAGTTTAGGCCCTTGATGTCAAAAGATATTCGAGGCAATGATTGGTTTGGGTGTTTTTCCTCAAAGCTAATCCTCTTGTTTTACTATTATTTTGTAGGAACATCGATGATCGTTTTATCAATCTTGTTCGAGTGTCAAGAAAAAACAGCTACAGCAACGTATCTAAGTCTCAGTGGGTGTGGAGTGAAGTGTTTTCTTGGAAGAATGAGCCGTGGGCGGAGAGTAGATGTAAAAAATGGCATCAGAAGGAACCTAATCCAGACACATTCAGAGGTATGGAGACCTAAATTGCATGTGTCTTGGGGAAGGAACAGACTAACGTGTTGTTACTGGAAAATAAGCTCTATCGATGCTTCTTAAAGAGAATGAAGTCTACGTCTTAAAGTCCGGATTGAAACGGTAGAGCCTCACACATTCGAATTTGGTTATTGCTGAAGTTAACTCGAGTAAGGGGCCATTTTCTTGGAAGATGGTTTTTCAGTCATTAACCTTCAGCCACCCCGAAATCCTTAGCACGTCAAAATGTTGTAAGCGTCCTCGTAGCAATTCATTATCAGCACATTAGGCAAGATTCTTCACTCGCGCATTCCCTTTCTTTGAGCAGAAGTGCCTGTAAATGGGTGTTATATAGCCGTCAGGAGAACCTAGAAGCTACCATCCGAAAGGATTAGCAATGCTGCTAAAATTTTCATGCTTGAAAGACCAACGTAAACTCCTATAGAGGATTGTGGGGCTAAACATAGGTTAGTATTCCAACAGAGTGATGGCAAGACCCACCCATTTTTCATTTAAGAAAACGTTTCTGTATGCTCAACGTTAGCAGATAGCTATGGGAAAGACGACAGTAATGACAAGGCGAAGAGGATTTTGACTAATATTATTGTATTCAACCACTAAGGAGATCCCAGCATGCAGCCATGCCCTTCGAGTTTGACTCAGGCTATGGTAGATCGCGGGCGCTTCATGTCTGATGAGGAATGCAATCCCCAAAATCGCGATGGATGTGATCGATACCACAAGGGAGCTTTCCAGTGTTTTTTAATGGTCAATCCCAGGTCAGTTATTCTTAATTTTAGTTTAATAAAAGCTTACTGGCAAACAACCCTGAGGAAATGTAGATCTATTTGCTGTTTTTAAGAAGGCCCGCTGTGCAACGAAAAAAAGGTATCCATAAGCACAAAATATAACTTTGCCTCGATTTGATTCACTGGACCCAGTTTTTCTTGTTTTCGTCCGAATATGTATCGAGCATGGAGCACTGATTTACTTTTTCTTCCATAGTGCCACAGGCTCCGGTCAGCAGTGCTGTTTCAACAGGCTTGGAAACTTAATGATGGGCCAACCAAACGCAGGGTCCCTTGACCGCGTTCATCCTAATGCTGGTCTCCCTGTGATATCCCATTTCTTCCATGATAAGGTGCCGTACGAAGACTGCTGCCGCAACTCTAAGAATTGTGAAAAGTACTTTGAGAAGCGGCCTTCAGACGACAGCTCAGAATATCAAGCACCAAGACCCGGTAATTCTTAATCATTTAAGTGTTATGTGGCATGTGGGCGACGCGATAACCCAGGGGTTGGAGTGGATAAAATGTGGTTGCTCAAAATTCACAATTGAAAACGAAAAATGTACGAAAGGGCTGAACACGCGTTGAAAAAAGGCGCAGGCCGGTTACTCTCCTGTGTGACAATGCCACATAATTAAAGTGTTACAGCATTTCCAAGTGGAGTCAAATTCGCTCTATAAACATACGAATGATTCGCGTATTTGGGTAAACGCGACGCAGTAGTACGATTTGTTGATAACGTGTCTGTTTGCAGACAGATCTGTACGACAAAAAAATCCCCTTACCCATCAACAAAACTATGAAAAAAAATTGACCAGAAAAATACTCAACGGTTAGAGTTATTCATAAATAAGTACATTACAGTTCAATTTTTTAATACAAATAAACCCAGCAGTCTCGATCGATAGCACACCGCAGAAATGACGCACACCGTCCAATTACACAGGCTTGGCGCGTGAACTGTCCTTTTACATTGTTCAGTTACTGTGCAATTGCAAGCGCAGCGTAAAAGTTGTCCTAAACTAAACAAAGCGCGCTGCTAATTGCCAACTACATTTGGGCATTATGTTTTACTTTTAATTAAAAGTAGGGAAAAAATGTATGTATAGTTCTTTGATAGTGATTTCCCTTAACAGTTCACATCTTCTTTATTTCAATAACTACGTTTTTTCGTTGCCCATAGCTACCGGTTTTGGGGACCCACACATGGTGACCTTGGATGAGAAGCCATTCACGTTCAACGGATATGGGGAATACTTCATTTTAAAAGTGAAAGGGGTGGACTTCACTCTGCAGGGGCGTATGGAGCCTCTATTAGCAGACGATGGATCGCCCTCAAAAGCCACAGTATACACGGCATTTGCAGCCAAAGAAAATGGATCAGACGTTGTACAGGTTAGGAAAATATGGGGAAAACAGAATTATTGATTATCTTATATATGTGGTTATGGGGCACACAGGAATGTACGTTACATGATGTATTTATATTAGACCGTCATTGCCATGCTGGACTCAAGGTGGCCTATTGGTTGGCATGTTGGGCGTGAGCCCGATAGATCTACACTGGTCTAGGTTCGTCTCCCGGCTGGGTCATCTACTTTGCCCCTAATGTGCCCTTCTCCACCCATGCAGGAGTGTTATTGGGTCACAGGAGACTGGATCATCCATGATGGGCCAGCATGTCCTCATTTATTTGTTAATATAAATAAACTAAATGTTGTACTTAGTTAAACTTTTTTTCTCTTCTTCTGCTCAATGTAGATCCAGTTGAATGGTCGTGGCTTAGTGGATGTTTTGGTGAATGGGGAAAGAGTTGATTTTGATGAGCTCTCCCTCCTGGAATTCACCGGAGTCTCTGTGTTGTATTACACCAACACTACTAAATATTCCGTTATTTTTAACTCCGGCATCTCCGTGACAGTTGAAGGGCAGCAAGAGTTGCTTGGTCTCGTGACTTTGGTACCAACAATTTTCAAAGGTAAAAATCAAGAGAAGGTGGAAGAATTCAAATTAATTTCAGTTATTTCTCTCCCCTTTCCAAGTATACGGGTACACAGTTTATCTTTAACGTTTATGAGTCTTTTTAAAGAAGAGAGATATCTTAGCGAAACTCATTTTGAACGAGTGTTACCCGGCTGGGGGAAGAAGAGGTCCCAAGTGGGTAGTTGACTCTTCTCTTTTTATCAAAGAAGAGATGTCATATTACACTTGCTAACGAAGTTTGAGGTCTTTACTCTAAGTTCTGGACAGAGTTTTTTATGGTTAATTGATGGCCAAAGCGTGATGTGCGTTGGTCTTTAGTCGACCGCAAACAGTGACAATTCGTAAATTGCAGGAGGAAAATTTCGACTCACTGCAGTATTTGTAAAGTACATCAAATTGATTTGGGGAAACGATTATTGGTTACTCAGAGCGGCTTCCTATAATATAACGAGAGACGTACTTCGAAAGCAAAACGAGCCCGGGCATTTGTTAGTTAGCCTTCATTAATTTTAAACAAACAATTTGGAGAAAGAAAGGATTCAAGAGGGTGATTTTGAAAAAGTAACTGAAGGTTGGCCCTCTAAATCGACCAATCGCAATGCGTTTGGTAACTGTGAGATTGCATTTAAACGAAACAGCATCACATACCCAACTCCTTAAATGGACAAGCTAAAAAATCGAAGCAAGTATCCGATATTGAGAGTGGAAAGTTAAACTGTTTATTGCAGGTAATACTTCCGGTCTCCTTGGATACTGGGATGACAGTAAAGAGACGGAATTCCTCAAGCCCGATGGAACATTCCTGAATACAAATTCGAGTTTGGAAATCATACACAGAGAGTTCGGACAATTATGTACGTAACTGTCAGATATGATTGCTTTCTGTTCCTTTTTATGTTACTCCAAGTTATGGAATTACCTTCCGGAGTTTCGCAAGTCATAAAACGCAAGTTAAAATCAAACTATAAAAAACCTATGTAGCCGGCCATTAGTATAATTTTCAGGTTAGAAATACAATTTTTGAAGACACTTTTTTTCATATTGCAGATGCTGCTAAGTTGTACCGTGTCCTTTTAGGTTGTCAACCCCTCCATAGTAATTTCTATGATTTTTTATTTCATTTACTTCCGCCCTAATTCACCAAACGATTAAGCTATGAAAAAATTCTGTCAAGTTGTTTTGGTCTTATTTAGCACAAAAGACCTCAATAAACTTTAATGATATGAAACTACTTTTAAGACTTTTAAAGAAAGACATCTAAAATTTGCCAATATGTAGCAGGTTTTTTCTCATACTCTCAAATGCTGACAAAGAAAGCCAAAAAAATAAGACAAGAGTCACATGGGAAACTCCCAGGATACCCGCGTTTAATGGCGCTATCCTTTAAAAGTGCACTTGACTGTTACACCTTTTCTTTCGTCTGCAGGGGTCACCAAACCAGATGAGTCTCTCTTTGTCTATCAACAAGGGCAGGACCACTCCACGTTTCACCATCCGAATTTCCAGCCAATATTTCCTGACAGTCAAAAATTGGACTTTACTGATAAGGTGCTGGAGAAGGAGGCCCAGAATGTTTGTGGGGATAGCTCCGAGTGTTTGTTCGATATTTTTACAACTGGCAAAGTGCGAATCGGACGAGCAACAAAAGAGACTGTGACTCAGTTTGTCGCCATTGTAAACGACACTGTGAAGCCAGGTTGAGAATAATAATTTTTATAGTTTAATGCGATAGCTAAACATCAATTCACAGTATTTGATCCGTCAATTGGATTATTTACGAGCTCCTACAATGCTCAATCGTAAAATGAGTCCAGGTTTTAGACCTTTCAAGTGAAAATGAGTTTTATTTACCTTAGAATAGAATGATCTTCGTTCAAAAGGCTTTGCACTCCGTGTCTGCAGATCAGAACAGAGCTTTGGGCGTCGCGTTAACTGCACAATGAGGGAAGCTTGTGCTGGGCCTACTGGGTGAAAATGAGTTTTATTTACAAAAGATAAAAAAAGTCATTTTCGTCCAGAAGGCTTTGCATTCCGTGTGTACAGTTCAAAACAGAGCTTGATGACGCATCGGTGGAAGAATCTTTGATACATAAGATAGCGATTAAATTCATACAGAAGGAACAAGTCATTCTCCAACGACTCTTAGCATTCAAACGACTCGATACCAAACGAAAACGCGTTTATGGACACTTTTCATTTCCTGTATTGTTCCAGGTCTCTTCCCTGTTTGCTCATGGCTGAAGGCTGGTATGTCAATCACAAGGGTTGCTAAATTGTGTGATGTTGTCTCTATTTTTCAGCTTGCGTACCACTGGACTCGCAGCTAACCGATGGGGTTGTACACAGAAATGACACTGAAGGCGGAATTGATTACACGTTTGCATGTAATGAAGGTTTCGTTATGAATGGCTCTAATCATGTGACGTGTAAAGATGGAGTTTACAATGGTTCGGCTCCAAACTGCTCGCCGAAAGGTGAAGTAGATCAATATTTCATTTTTTCATTCACTGCATGCCTTAAAAATTGTTATGTTGACTATAATTACGTTTTGTTCCCGCCATGATCAATCGATAGCATCGATGATTGATACCGTTTGATAACTAGCGATATAAGTGGATACAACTTGGGTCAGCATGGAAATAAAATCGATCGATTGATACTTATAAATCAAACTTAGAACGTTTAGCCTAATAATTCGGCTGAGATTTGACGTGTGGAAGGCTGCAGTTGATAGGAGTGACTGACGTTTCGACAACTTGAGCGGAAGTCTTCAACAAACTCAAGGTTGTCGAAACGTTAGTCACTACAACCGACAACAGTCTTACGCGGGAATCTCTCTTTACTGAACGATCAAACCAGTTTTTTTAACACCGAAACTTGCTAAATTTTGCAATGATACTCAAATCAGTCTTAGAAACGAAAGAAGGGCATAGAAACCATTTTAGTGCAGAGACGCTTTGGTAGTCTTGGGCCCTTTCCAAGAACTCTTTCGTCAAATTATCCACGATAGCCTCTTTATCGAACCAACAATTGGTTCATTCGTCTGTATATGTTCATCGAGGTTTGAAACTCGCGGAAAGTTAGAAAAGCATGCAAGACATTTTAGAGTCTCTTGAGGCGCAGCGGTACTTCAAATTTTTGATTTAGAGAGACTTTTTCTGCTACCCTCCAATGCATGCTCAAACGTCATCTGTGTCTAAAATGGACACGCGCAAAATTGAATTTGATAACATAAATGTAATAAAACGAGATGATCGGTGACTGCGCATGACGTTTTTCTTGCCGTCTCGCACAACTCTCTGAGCAATAATAAAGGATTAAGAGCTTCTTTAACAGGAAATAAAACTAATGGAGACCGACAGGCATGGAAACTCCAGTGGGAATTACTATACAATCCAGATCTGGTTTATCTGTATTTCGAGTATTTAGCCTACAATGGTATTCCGGATTCCTCAACGCTAGATAGATTAGCATTGGAGCTCAAAACAGACAGGGATAAGGTAAGAGCAATGTACCAGTAAACTTTCAATGTAGTTTGCCTTTTGTCCGGAGTTGATTCTCTTCTGATTTTCAACTGACTTATCGCCTTAGAAGCTTTTAAATAGTAATTCAAATTATATTTCGAAATCAATAATAAAACAGACCAATGACCTAACAACTGACGTTTTAAAATGGTAAAAGGAAAAAGAAAAAAAGTCACTATAATTGTTAATGAATTGAAACGAGCGGTATGCTTATTAATGCAAACCTGGAGCCGTTGGCTTTTACACGCAAACTCTGTAAATACCCTGTTTGCACCAGGGATCACAAAAAAATAGAAGGATCACCAAAGTGTTTTGCATTTCATCAAACACGTAATGGTTCCCTAGTTTGGTAAAATTTATTTTTTCTGCTAAGTTTCATTCATTCATTCCTTTTCATTTTATTTTGTACTTATTTTTATTTCATAGATCCTCAGCTGGTTCAAGTTTCTGGATAAATGGTATTACGACCAGAACCAGGGAATGTGGAGCAATTAGTAATGAAGTAAAGTTGCCGCGAAGCGAATCCAGGAAAAATCAAGATGAAATTTATATTTTTTCTATTGCTCAAAATTAGAGAACTTAATATATGATTATTCGATGAGTGCGTAAAACAAATAAAACTTGCACATTTTTTCAATGTTTCCATGGTTATAATTGCATAAGATGGCAGCAAATGAATTTCACTAGCGGGTAGATATCATTTCACGGCATTGAAAAGGTGTCCTAGTCTATTCGCACTTCTCTCGTAAGACCGATCCCTCAGGCATCCTTACAAGTGCATCGATATCCCATGATATTATCATCAATTTACATACAGTACCACTGTCACTGAGCTGCTGTGTTGTGGCGTAGATTCGACTCCAAGTGTCGGCCATATTATAAACAAGTAGTCGGCTTTGAAATCAAATGAGTTCACTGGGGTAAAGCATGAAGTATACCATAGGTGAGAGCATCAAGGGTTGATTAACACTTTGAATTTTTGAATGATTTTCAGACTACAAAGTAAGAGTGGGCCTTTAGATATTTGTCAAACACGAAAACTTTTTATGAACTGGCCAGATGCAGGTATTTTCAACCATACAAGGTTCTCTTAATTACGAATTTTGAAAAGTGTAGTATTTCTTTTTTGCTTAATGCCAGTAACAATCCAATTTAGCCAACATCAAAAATTTGCGGTGTAGTAAGTAATTGTTTCAACATGTAATTTAAGTCACTTATTACAAGTCCATCAGCCAATTAAGTAAGACGGAAAAAAGAGTATGCCATCTGCGACTCAAAATGTTCCCGCTCACATATGAAAAATGTGTTTCTCTCTTCTACTGTACACTACAAACGAAAGTGGTGACTAAATGTTACAGCCTCATTGTTAAGATACTGAGGAATGCCTCTTCGATGCAATGTGCTAGTCTCTTCGTGGTAAACAGTTTGTCATGATCAGAATGTTTATAAGATTACTCTAATCAAAACGACTAAAGCTGCAAACTACATGATCGACTTTTTCGACGGTTTTGTTTACCAATAATCAATCGCTAACGATTGGTCAGGTTGGGTTCTTTTTTTTCAGTCTTTATGTCTGAAAACGCTTTATTGATAGGTTAGCCTCTTCTCCCTTAATTTTTCCAAAGAAACTCAATTGTTTTAATTTACTTTCTTAACGTTTGTTTGCAATTTCTTTTAGGCTCTTTGAAATTGGACATTAAATTTAGTTGACAAGAAAAAAAAATCTGTTTAACGTGGCTAATTTGACTGATCATCTTTAGATCTCAAATTTGGGAGCAGTCTTACTAATACTGGGGGAGGGTGGGTGGAAGGTTTTTGTGGGAATCGAGGGATCAGATGGTTTCCAGGGGAAACGGAGGGAGGATCCGTTATCAGTCGTTGCCGAAAAAGAGTATAAAGGGGGGGGGGGGGGTTCTATAGATCATTGACTATAAATTAACTCTGCCAATGAGAGGAAAAGTTCATATGAATATTACAAAGCCCTATAGGGGGATCAAACAAATTATATCGGGACTCAGCCATATTCCACTGAATCCCGCCCCCCCCCCCCCTCCCAGGAGATAATAATGATCGGTCACTTAAGGCCAACTGTAAATAAGGACGGAAAGAGGCACAGGTAGATGGTGAGTGTGTCACTAATGTTCCCGTGGTAGATAATTACCTTTGAAAGGCAGAAAAAAAATTAATTAAATGATCGAGTGATAACATGGTACATATTGATTTCCTTTTTAAAAGAATGTCCAGTTCGTCTTTGGCATCTTAAGAATGGTCGTTTTCACGGGAATGGCAGTGTTTATCTTTCAACGTATCATTTTCTGTGTAACGGTGGATATGTCTTGGTTGGTGACAGTACCGTGACATGCACGGCGGATGGCTCATGGAATGGTACAAAACCCGTCTGTTTGCGAGGTATCAAGTTTAGCCTTAATACCTTAGAGAGGTTTCTTAGAAAAGGAGAATCAGGAATTAATGATTAAGGAGGATCGGGGGTGGATGTTAAAGGATCGATCATAATGAAATTACCAATTTTTTTGAAGAAAAGAAGAAGTTAAAGAGCCCTCTTTGAAAGTTATATGCATGAAACTTTCCAGTGTAAATGCATGTATCTCAGTTTTCTCCTAAATCACAGAACTAAAAACCACCTCGTGGTTATTACAATTTACGAAGTCAAATTATCGTTGGCAACATCTTAGAAATTTTTTGTTGATGTTCTTTATTTGAAATTTTCTATGAAGATAATTCCCTTTTCAGGTTCACTATGATCTCACCACATTCACTTAATTCCAGGGGACTAGAGTCCAAGTCACTTCCTGGCGTAATGATTTAACAGATTCTTGACACCCGATCCTCCTTCCCGCGATTCCAGTTCCTTGACTGTCGTTTCCCTATCCTTGATTCTGATTAAACAGAGTATAAGTTCGGTTTCAGTTCGAAAATGACCATGAGATCTTTATAAACGTCGCAGATAAACTCCATCCTTGACTCAAATGGTCTTTTTATTTAGTCTTGCTGATAAGTTGGTTTAAAATGACACCTGATCAGATCATATTGTCTTGATAGTGATGCTGCCGGAAATAAAATCAATAATGATTAAAAAAAAAACAAAACAAAAACAAAACATGAAGAAAATGAAACCAGAATTTCCATTCTTCATGTTCCGCTTAAAATTGAGATCTTTTTCAGTTACTGGGACAAAGAAAGGAAATGTTACTTCTTCAGGGAAAAAATGGCTCACCAAAATTTATAATTTTGAATGATAATTGACCTATGAAACCTAAAGAAATGATTTAATACAGCTCCCAGTTGCAACAAGTGGAAATTAGTATTAGTTATGATTATACGATCTCATGATCTTCCTAGCCTTGTTCTAAATGACCTAAGAGTTGCCTTAAATACTTGCAGAATGCCCAAGGCTCCCTTCTTCAATTTCAAACGGCGACATCCATGGTTCGGGTCACTTGCAAGGATCACACCACAGGTTTAGCTGTCGCCCTGGTTACTCTCTCGTGGGCCATGCCATTTTGTACTGTACCGAAGAGGGAAAGTGGAATGCCAGTGTTCCCATGTGTCTGAGAGGTATACATATCTATCTCAAATTAAATTTGACGAATGATTTGTTGTTACAACACCTAGTGCAGGAATCGTCGACCAAGTTTTGTGATACATTTTCCGAACTACAAAACATGTGTTTTATTGAGTTACGAGGTCTGATGTTATGACAACAGTTAACACTAACGCTGTTTTTGATTGAAGAGATGAGGTAGAAATATTTTAGAAACTACTCCCTTAGTTAAACTTGCGCTCGTATCCTTTATGGACGCAATTTGCCAGAGCTACGTCAAGTTATATTGAGTCATTTTTTTAGGGAAAGAAGTAAACCTTCAGTTATAAAGATGATTCAAAATCATGTTTAATAAGATAGAAAAAAGACAAATGAGTCAGTCAATCACAAATCAAGAAGGAGCAAGAATAGAGAAGGGTGAAGTGGACTGCAAATATCAGCTTTAAGAATTTAGATAACCCATGGACTAATGAACTCCTTCGAAGGAATGACTTTCCACATTATTTCCTCTTTCTCCAGAATGTCCTCATCTTCCATCATTCATACCAAATGGATTCGTTGGTGGGAGTGGATCAGTGGAGGGATCGCAGTACAGGTTCAGTTGCAAGGGAGGATACTCTCTTGTGGGAGCAAACATCCTTCAATGTACCGATCAGGGAAACTGGAATGGCTCCGTTCCTACGTGTCTCAAAGGTACGGGTGCACGGGAGTTCGATTACTTTAAACTCCACCAATGTAGCACTTTCTGTTAACTACATCATAATCTGAGTACCGAGTGGAGACTTGCCAGAGTTTGTGTATTACTTCATTTTCACTCGTTTTTGTGCCCCACTTCCGATGCCTGAAACCATTTTCCTGGTGCTTGGGAAATTCAAGAGATATCCATCCCTGTTTCTTTTTAAGGAACCTCGTGTGATCTGTAGCTCGTAATTCGCTTGATATACCACTTGTCACAGGGTTAGTTTTCAAGGAAACGAATTTCTCATCTCACGTTTCTTGTCCAAGGTTATTACGTTACGCGCTAATATGAAGCAAAGTAATCCCTAATTTTTCTTCATTTCTTTTTTATCTCCCACTGAATTATGTGAGCTTATTTTTCCGGATTTTTTACTTTAAGTAATCTTATTTTCAGAATGTCCACAACTGCCGTCGTCAATACCTAATGGATTTGTCAACGGCACAGGTTTCTTGGAAGGCTCCGTGTATGGATTTAGTTGTTTGCAGGGCTACTCCCTTATTGGAGAGAAAACGTTACTTTGCTCTACGGGCGGAAACTGGAATTCCAGCCTTCCCAGCTGTCTCAAAGGTAGCTGTAATCAAGTGATGAAAAATAACCGAAAAATGATTACATTCAAGTGTCTACAAAAACTTTTTAAGACATTCAGCGTAACAAAAACCTTTAAATATCGATTAACAGTTCTGTAATAGTGTTGCTTTTTTTTTTTTTTATCTGATCCTCGTTAAAGTGAACTGATATGCCTGACTAAGAAATATTATGACATTATCTGATCCTACTTTCCAAGCAAGACAGGCTCGAATATGGGGGGAGGGGTTGGATAAAGGAGTTGCTACGGTCTAGGAATAAATCACTTATATAAGTGTGACGTAACGAAAAATTCGTTGTGCATAGACTATATTTAGTTTTGGTCACATAGTTTGCAGCAATATATGAGTTACAGAGTGATTTTATTTAAAGTTTATCCTGAAGCATCAAACACTGTGGCAGGTTTATTTTAATTGTTGTTGGTTCGATCGTCACAGATTGTCCAGACCTTCCGTCGTCCATACCGAATGGAAAAGGAAACGGAACTGGTTTCGTAGAGGGCTCCAAGCATCATTTTACTTGTGATGAGGGATATTCACTGGTTGGACAGAGAGCTTTACATTGCAATAACACAGGTGCCTGGAATGGCTCTGTGCCTGTGTGTCTTATAGGTAGTGTATCTATCAATGTTTACCTCTAAAGTAACGTAAAATTACCTTGATGAACAAGAGTTCTGATATAATGAATACTGAGGTTTACTAATTACTATCATCCTAATTTTTCATAATGTAAATACTATTTTCTATTAGATTGTTATTGCTGTCAGGTAAGTAACACGAGCTTATAATCAGCAGTACAAACATATGCAGTTTTCAAATTGACTTATAGAGACTTATCGTATACATTTTTGGAAATCTTCACACAGATTGTCCTAGGCTGCCATCTGAAATAAAAAACGGCAAAATAAATGGAACGGGTTTTGTAGAGGGATCATTGTACAAATTTAGCTGCAACGATGGTTACTCTATCGTGGGTCAAGATCTTTTGTATTGCACTCAAATGGGAAGATGGAACGCAGGTGTCCCCGTTTGTCTCAGAAGTAAGTGCCTTTAGAATTGTTAGCGTGATCTTGTATGCAAAGGAAAAGCCTGCACTCAAGCTAAGTCACCCATGCAGCTGCAGCTTATCCCGTTATCTGTAAAATGAAGCGACAAGAAATATTGCTACTCTCATCCTGAAAGTTTGAGTTTCCTTGAAAGTTTGCCGGTGCCGATTTTTACTTCTGGGTAAGAGAGGCACTGCAATGAGAGCAAAGTGTTTTGCCTAAGAGCATATAGCTCAATGGCCCGGCCACATCTCCAGCCCAGACCTCTCGACCTGGACTTCAGCGCGCCAACCGCTATGCCACCGGATCTCTCAAAATTTCTTGATTTTTTATTATGAATCATAAATGTGATTTAAAGCTATTATTAAATTGCTTTTGAATGTCATTACATGTGTCTTCCAGAATGTCCTATCCTACCGTCTTCTATACCACATGGTTTCATCCAAAGCGGAGGGCTCCACAAGGGTCTTGGTTTTTTCAAGGGTAAAGGCTATTTAGAGGGATCCCAGTATCAGTTTAGCTGTGAAAAAGGGTACTCACTTGTTGGTGCGGAAACTTTAGCTTGCACGGATTCTGGGATATGGAATGACTCGCTTCCCTCCTGTCTTAGAGGTACGTGCATATTCAACCAAAGTGTTCAGCCCTGATATGACAGTGTTCGTCTTCTCTCAACTGAGGTTTGTCTTCCTCTTTTGGACCTAGCATCAAGTCTTGGTTGGTATTGTTAAGGATTATAATCCTGTTAGTTGAACTACACGGGAGTATTCTTTACGTAGGAAACCTTTTTTTGTTCATCCTCTAGAGTGCCCGGTGCTTCCTTCATCGTTGGCAAATGGCTTCATCCTTGGAAGTGGCTCATTGGAAGGTGCTCAGTACAACTTTAGTTGCAAGAAAGGGTATTCTCTAATTGGTGCGGACACAGTAGTTTGCACGGATGCCGGAGTGTGGAATGGCTCACTCCCAACCTGTCTCATAGGTATATGAGAAATTGATATTCAATTACAAATATTACTTCCCTAATATGGCATAATTACGTTGCTAAAGTTTGTCATTGTTGTCTTTTTTGTCTAGAGTGCCCAAAGCTTTCTTCGAATCTTACACACGGGGCATTTCATGGATCAGGTCACGTGGAAGGGTCTATCTATAATTTCAGTTGCATGGATGGTTACTCTATTGTCGGACATGATACTGTATTTTGTACTAAAATGGGTGTATGGAACGCCAGTGTCCCTAACTGTCTCAGAGGTACAAACAAAAATCGCTTAACACAATAAAAATATATTGCCTATTAATTGTTATGGACGCAACAAGCAGTTTCTTCAATATTTATTATATATTTTTCTATTATAACTCTTGATAATTTTGGATTTTGTCAAGGATCTCAGATTGATCCTAGTCCGATTGTGCAGTTTCACATCTCAGCTGAAAGAGCATGGAACGGTATCGCAGTTTTTTCCCACTGAAGCCTTTACTGTTTGCAGGTTTTTTGTCTTTTTGCATCAGTAGGGATTTTAAAGATCGAGGTTAATTTTTAACAAAGGACATATCTATATCTATTATCCAGAATGTCCAGTTCTTCCTTCATGGATATCGCATGGTTTTGTTAACGGTAGCGGCTCATTGGAAGGTAATCAGTATGAGTTCAGTTGTCAGGAGGGGTACTCTCTTATTGGTGCCGCCACATCAGTTTGCACGGATTCTGGTGTGTGGAATAGCTCGCTTCCAACCTGTCTCATAGGTATGTCAAGTGTGTATGACCAAAGGTCAATCCTTCCCCTTGATAAAGAGCGTTTGCAAGATATTAACTACTTACGTTAACTTTTCGGCTCCATGTACAGTTTCTACACGACTGATATGCGTAAATTCATTTTGCAGCCTGCGTAAACGTATTTTATCATAAACTCTATGTTTCTTTGTAACTTTGTAACTTTCTTGTCTCCTAACGAAATACTTTGTTTCCTTATTGTTCGATCAAAGAAAGGTTGCTCACTTCGCAGTAATCTAGAAATGAAAAGTCAACGTTATTCTTTTATTTAATCATATTTTGATCTGTTTTGTTTTCTCCCCACATATTACCGTGAATATAATCTTCATATATCTGTTCACACAGAATGTCCAAAGCTTCCCCTTTCCATAGTACATGGGCATGTTAATGGTACGGGCTCAGTACAAGGATCCGAGTACAGTTTTAGCTGCAATCAAGGCTATTCACTATTTGGTGAACGGAGATTGAAATGTACGGCAGAAGGAAAATGGAACGCCAGCCTTCCCAGTTGTCTTAAAGGTATATCTAGCCATTTTATCAGCACCAATCCTCTTCGTGTTGAATTATTTAAATCGTGTTTTTCTGTTCATCACAACGGTTTTAAGACCACCAGACTTGGCATGAAATTAAGGATACGTTTTCTTTATCTTGCACTAGAATTCTTGGCAGAGAAATAATATTTATTTTTAGATTTAGCCATCTATTGCTGTGTTTTCCAATTCTTTTTTCTCTCTGTGTTTTTTCCCTTGATAGAATGCCCCTCTCTGGCTGCTGGCATGGAAAATGGTAATAAACATGGCCGTGGGTCGGTGGAAGGCTCCTTGGTCTGGTTTAGCTGTGCTAATGGTTATTCACTTGAAGGAAACAAATACCTCTATTGTGATGAAAATGGTCAATGGAATGGTACAACACCTTCTTGTTTCAAAGGTAAAGTAAATATGTTTTAAATTCAAATTTGATGAAGACATGCTCACAAAATAAACCATGACTAATAAGAACGACGCTTAAAGCAGCCAATATCGCTGTTTTGTTACTGTTAAAATGACTAACCTACACATGAGTTTATTCGCTTACCTAAGAACATCAATGTGTCAGAAAGCAGTACGCTAACACAGCTACACATTCTTTTTCAAAGATTGTCCTCAAATGAACCGCACTCTAGAAAACGGGCACATTGATGGTAATGGATCCACGTCAGGTGCAGTGTATAGCTTTCTTTGCGATGAAGGATACAGCATAGATGGAGAAACCTCGCTGCGCTGTGATGAAAAGGGACAATGGAATGGTAGCATTCCTGTATGTTTAAAGGGTACGTTAAACTCTCAAGTTACTGCTTGATTACAGTTTGCATCGGCCGACCTGTTATACATCAGTGCTTTGCTATAGTCGCCACCTAATCAAGTTGCGTATCACAAAAACTTAGCAATTAGTAGTAGCAGCAGTAGTAGCAGAGAAAGTAGAGGCATTAGCAAGAATCTTGATTAACAGTTTTTTTGGTATCGGTAGTGGTGGATATTTTTCTGGTTGTGAAAGCGGTGTTCCCATAATGCTCTTGATAGTAGGAGGGTAGGTAGCCATATTAAAGTTCTCTGTGTTCGTGGCATAGTGGTAATGATTATTGCTTGACTGCGGTGGCAGCAGTGATCTTGGCAACGATGGCGATTGTGTAGTGTTGATAGTTTTGATGCTAATTGAGATCATTTTAATGTGAGTGGTAGGGGTTGCGTCATCTTGTTGCGAGTGCGTGAAATAATAGCAGTGGTGACAGTGTTCCAAGCGTAAATAAAAATACCTCTGAAAGTCTTTCATATGTACTCCCCCCTCACTGAACAACTTTCAATTTACCCAAGCTCGTACAGATAAAGAGGACAAGGATACAAACGACTGGTACCTTTACGTCCTAACTGGTGCTGCTATCCTAATTCTGATAATCGCAATTGGCCTGTTGGTTATTTGTTGTCGACGGAGGTCAGGTCAAAGAGATACAGCAACTGTGAAGGGCGACGAAGAGGCAGAACTGGAAGTCATGATGAAACCTTCAGTACCTGAGGACAGTAAAGACGAATGTACCACTGCTCTACAAAGCGATTGCTCTAAAGATCCTGTGGGTGTGGTATAGATGAAAGATCTCCGTTGGCCCTAACTATGTTTTCTGGATTTCAGAGTGTCACGTCTTTGATGTAGCTCTTTTAGAGCCCTCTTTAAACGCTTGAATATTCCCGCCGTGACTTTGCAAGACATCAAGAGATCGTTCCTTTGTACTTCACTCGATATCTGAAATGTCCGTTGAGTTACTTTTTCAAGTGGCGACCTTAACTTAAAGAGGAATATAAAATTGATGAAAATGCACGCAGAGCGATAAGCTCCATCACCTTACCGTCTTGAAAAGGGTTCCAATATGAAAAGTAGATCTCCACACCCAGAAACTTTGTTAACGACTTGAGAAAAGATAACGAGGAAGTTAGCAAATCTACCGTTTATCGAGTCGGTGTCTCCGAGATAAATTCACGAGAAGCTAAACGTTGTTAATATTTATTTCAAGGTGTAATTTATAATACTATCCAGTTAGTGTGTAAAGCACATTGTTTAGGAAAAAATCGTAAGTGCTAGTTGAAATACACAGAAATTTCCTCATTTATTGTCTTCATTAAAATTTTCAACCTTTAATCCAAACGACGCTAAAGAAAGCTTTTGATCTCAGCATACATTTCGAAAGACCACAGACAACAACATTTGACAGGTATTCAGTTCACATGGCCTACATTGGCAGACAAATAAGTTGTCCAAAAGTTTCTCTCATCATGGAGATATATGGGAGCATGCATGTATGACTGGGAGACTGGTTGTACAGTCTTTCTTTTCTTCTCTCTTCTGTTCAGAGGACGGGATGCACATATTTATGGTGAAGGTTCATTTTGTAGAGAGATTTTATTGGCATAAAAAATAACCCTTTTACTGAAAACTACCTCCTCCTTCTCCCCACCCCTCACCCCTTATAAAGATTGTATTTAACCAGCCCCCTTGGATGTAATTTGTCGCATGTATCAGGAGGTTGGGTCAGTTGGCCTTCATGTATCACGTTAGGAAAGAGAGACTGTATTTTTAATGTACAGTTTTATCAAACACAAGGAACCTTCTCACCCAGGCCATCATACTCTGTGATTGCAATTGGAATCAGACAGGCTGGCAAGTCAATGCTGTTTGCAAAGCTGAGTGGGACAATTCTGAAAAAACTTGAGCCCACTGTTGGTAAGCTCTTTTTGCGAGTGTCTATGTTTGAATATACTTTTCAGATTTATCACTTTGAGTTGACATTTGTTAAATGTCGGAAAAAGTTTATTTATAGTGATGTTGATGAACACATGATAACCATTTTACTCTCAGAATCAGAGAAAAGATTCTCCCAATTTGTTTGGTGACATTGCCTCATGGGCTAGTAGGAAGAATTTGGTTGTATATCAAGGCAGTATTCCTTACTTCTGAGTAGAAGATATTTACAAACCACCCTTGTTAACTTTTTGATTTAATTCAGGAAATTACCTTGTACAAAAATGATTGGCATACGCTCAGCGGTACTCTAAATCAGTAATGTATTTCTGAAATGGCTACGATAGGTTTCTCTGTGAAAGCTGTTCAGCTACCCAGTGCTATTCTAAATGTTAAAGAACTTGGAGGTAAGTATATGACTGCAAAGTTACTTGTAGTAACAACGATCATAACTCTTAATAGATCACAACTTTCAAAGAAATCCAAAGAGGCTGGAGTTATAGGGAGCGAGTTTTCAAGTGTACAATTATAAATAAACTGAAATCAGGGCATTTCTTGCACAAATTTAGAATACTTTGACCAAAGGAGTTGACTTACCAAAAAACCAATTAGCAGCGTGCATCTTTTTAGTTATTGAATTTCAGATGATCGTCATTTTAGTTATGGTACTGATGGTAGAATTTTTCTGAATGAATGAAATTATTTGTTCATGAATTTATCTCACTTTTCATAATATGTGGAGACAAAAAAATCAGAAATACTGCCACACTACTTTGGAGGAGCTCAGTGGAAATTAAGAAAAAAACCTTAGCTTATTTTAGAGCTAAGCCAATGAGGAATTCAGTTTCTGTGCTTACATAGTCTCATCTGAACACAAGGGGGGCTGGGAAAATTTGTGAAAGTTTTGCAAACTTTCACGAATTTTCCCAACCCTGCAAGTCTGTAGATAAGGCCTTATAAACATGAAAAACATCCTCTTTTGCTTTTATAAAATATTTCTTAGAAGTAGTGTTACAATGGTGTTTACATACTTTGAGAGCGTGCGACCCTGGTGAAAATCTTTGAAGCATCCTAATGAGGTTGTTCTCAAAGATAGGGGTTTGTAAATGTGTTGATCAGTTTTGATGAATTAGTATCAGGAAAATCTGTTGC